TTCTCTTTGTCAGCCTTCGCGCAATGTGTATCAGTGTGTGGGTTATAACTGATGATGGGTTATAACTGATGATTTCGCAGTGACCCCCAATCGGTGAACAAACCTACACCATCAGAAAACCCCTGCAACGTATAAATTCAAGATCACGCGCAATTTCCCGCCTCTGACGCCATCTCAGTCAGCATCTCCGACGCCATCTCTGTCAGCATCTCCGACGCCATCTCTGTCAGCTTCTCTGACTCCATCTCGGTCAGCATCTCTGACGCCATCTCTGTCAGTATCTCTGACGCCATCTCTGTCAGCATCTCTGACGCCATCTCTGTCAGCTTCTCTGCCTCCGTCTCGGTCAGCTTCTCAGCCAGCATCTCTGTCAGCGGACCGTCGCCATCTTCCCACCAAGCGCACGACGCCATCTTGCCGCTCTGCCTGCCTACGCTTTCCCTGCGTGCCGACGCTTCTCTGCGAACATATATATAGTGATATTTTCAGTGATGTTATATTCAGATATATATATTCAGTGATATTTCGCTAGACATATTCTCTCAGCCTACGTCTCCACGACGACTCACAACGCAACCACGGTGGCACGTCGAGCTGCGCCCATGCCCTTGGACGGCTTGAAGTGTTGAAGGCTACGTTCCGGAAGGCAGGAATCATGATGGTCCATTACATCCTGGGCAGTGGTGGTCTTCGGCAGGCGACCCGTCTATTGCAGACATAAATAACACAATGGCAAGACATTTCCGAATGCTTAGTCCTTAATTATATTTCTTTTTTTTCATTTCTCAATGACGTGAAAAAAATGCTATTCGAGTCTCACCGCTTACTCCTGCGGAACTTCTATAGTTAAACATTATCCTTAGGATTCTTGATTACTAGAAACGTTTATCCATATTGCTGTCTGTAATAGTAATAATAATAGCGGTTTCAGCGTTTATTAGGTCGTATGCCTATCGCTGATTCTTAACATTCACATCATTTTGCGGTCTCGAACTCGCAACTCACTGCTACAGTTCTGCTGTGTTTAACAGCCCGGCCTCCTCGCCGGTTCTGACCAGAAACTGGCGCACAGAGCTGGGATCAAACCCGTGCCTCTCTACTTCAATCTTGGTACTCTAATGAACTGTAACCACTGGGCCACCCTGTAGAGTGGTACGACTAGCGTACCGCGTAGATCTCCATAATTTTTTATTGCGTTATCAGTGGCGCCGTATTTTCCAATTGGCCAATACCGAGCCCGTTGTTTTGTTTTCATTGCTTGAAACGATGTCTGGAGGGCGGCCTTGCAGGAGTCTTAATAACGGCCGTACTTCCGTATAGTTGCATTGTCACCACTGTGTATGATGTTACACCAAGCTCGTCGCCGTAGCGTTGCTGCTGATGACAATGACCGAACTTCCGATTGGTGATTATCGTTGATCGGTGTTCGTTCCTTAAATGTTTTGATTGCCGGCTTTTGAATCGCTGAAAGTTTTGTTGCCTAGCTCTCACGTCACGACCGAAATGTTGATACTGGTCGCGTTTAAATACGGCGAAGTCGTTGATCTTAGTTGTAGACTGTTGATACCGGTGTTATCATTTAAGCTTATCGCGTTATCCCTCCTTATTTGAGGAGGGATAACGCTTATCGCGTTATCCCTCCTCCAATGTTCTTTAGCCTCTTAAATAATTTTATGTTTATTTATTACAGTTATTATTAGATTTTGCTAAAAAATGCCGACAAATTCGGATGGTATGGCCTGAATATGTTGCTTACGCTGTGCCTAAAGATGCGGTACTTGCTGTCTTTATTGTTGCACTACTAAAAAGGTGATTAGATGCTTGTAAAATTAAACGTTCTCTCACATCCTGTACATTTCCTGGACGCTTAGCCTTGGTTAATGCTCTACAGGGGTTGCAGTTGCGTGAGTGACACGTTGATTCGCGCGGCTGTTATTTCTCGACCCAACGGCAGTGATGGTCACCTACGTCAGTGGAGCTACCTTCAGATCGTACCTGCGTGATGAATACAACAGTTCAACCTTTAACGAGACTTTGTATACTTTTATAATGAAGGCATCGCGCTCGGTTATGTCAATCGAAAACATCACGACAGTGTAAAGTTTCTCTTTGTCAGCCTTCGCGCAATGTGTATCAGTGTGTGGGTTATAACTGATGATGGGTTATAACTGATGATTTCGCAGTGACCCCCAATCGTGTCCAGCTCCATCTACTGTTCGAAAATTCTAGAAACGCAGGCACATCAGTAATTAGTTTAGTCATGATAAAAACATATACGGCAAAAACCTATCTATTTGCAATTTCAAGTGGGTACGAGCTGAATAAACCTGAATTTAAACTAGGCCTCTGTTTAAAAATATTCAATGATTCTAAATGCGTAAATCGGAAACATTGAAAGTGGAAGCTAAACCTTGAAGTCAGAATCGCACTGCTCGGCGTGAGCGCGCACAGCCGAATGAGGAGAGCGCGATAGCAAATGTCCAGTCCTACGACTCCTGCCCTTATGCTCAGCGACCCTATAATAAAAATTTCGTGACATCATTCCGACGTACGCACGATACATATCGTGCAGAACTGTATTTATAAAGTAGAGATGCTCGCATATGAATAGGGAGGTTATCTTTACACATAAAAAATAACTGTTTTTAAAATTGTTCACCAATAAAGAACGAAGATTAACATTTGGGAAGTACTTTGAGAACAAAAGTTTAGGCTCCCTTGACATAGTTTCGGATGCATGGCCGAGGTGTGGAAGCGAGCAATAAACAACATTCCTACTGTCGTGATCGGGATCAACCTCATTCGCTTGTACATGAATTTCTTTTTGGATAAACACCTGATTAGTCGGAAATCCATTAATCGAGAATATATTGTGTAAAAATTATTATTGCTGACCTCTAATCGGCAAGTTGCTACTCTAAAGCTTATATCATTTGTAATATGATATCCGGGCCAACACTAATTTTGGGGCAACGGCGGCTTACAGATGACCGAAGAATGGCCAGCGGTTGGCAAGAACTAATTGGCCTGGACCGACCACTAATCACGTATTCTTTATTCCTCGCCCCTCACTGAGGTCTCCGTCACAGTACCGCCAGTACCATCCGTCACAGTACCATCCTGGACTGACATGTGAGTAATTTACAACGCCTCCTTCCCCTCATACCTTCCACAAAACCTTCATCGCATAAGTTACTTAAGGGATTTTAACTGCATATCGCCATATGTAAGCATGAGCCCCAATAACTAGTTTTTTGTCATAACTATCTGAACAATGGAGGCTCCGAGTATACGAATGAGTAGAGAATACAAAGACTAACCGATTGACATCTCAAAAATAGTGTGCCCCATTCATAAATATTATTATTCGAAGTTTTACTGAAAATTCATTCACCGTAACTCATCTGCATTCGCCTCTTCTTCTTCACCGTAAATTCACCGTAACTCTTCGCATATTTTTTGTTACTGTTGACCGTTCTGAAATAAATGGCAGTGAGGCATAAAAAAAATTCATTTTTTCATCTAATTTACGAGTGAATTAAAGTTCAACAACCATATACCTATAATCTCAATGGGTGAACGGTGGTTCTTGTCCAACAATTTGGTTCACCAAGTATCTAAATGCTCGCAATCTTATTTGTTGGAGTGTATATTCCTTTCTTCAACGCCGACACTTCTATTCTATTCTACATGGCAGTAGTTGTGCAGAAAATCGATGCCATAATATTATTTAATCATCAAAAATTACATGTAGACCCAACTATTCTCATTTTAAATTGCATTTTTGTCATACAAGGCAAAGTTGCTAATAAATTTCCTTTCATTTATTTTTCCAGATTTGTTTATTCCGCTCTTCGAACGTCATTTGTTTAATCTCGTATCGAACTTCTCCTTAGCCGCGACCACCCGAGTTGCTTCATCATTCAGTTGGATAAGCGCGGTGTTGGGAGTGTGGTGATATCAAAATTTCTCACAATCATCATGGATAGACGGAAGTTATCGTGAGTGGCTCGATCTCTTGCACGTCATTATCTGTTTCTGTGACTTTGTACTACTTAAATGTTTTTTTATGGTTCAAGTACACAAGTTTTTGAATAGAAAGTTTAATCGTGTTCCTTATATCACATAAGTAAGATTTCGTACTAGCAGCATCTTCCGTATAGTTTAAGCTAACGTAATATTTTACGGTAGGTGCACTTAGTGCCTTTTTCTGCCTTACTATATCATTTAACTACCGTCAATGCCGATAAGGGCCCTACGCCCATAGCACTTGAGTCACCGGCATTTAAAAGAAACTATTTCATCAACGAAACTCAACCACATCCTCAAATTCCAGCGCGATCGAAACAGCTCCGTAGTACGGTAGCCTGGTAGCTAGAGGTAGGCATAGTGGCAAACCAGAGATTTTTTAGAATTAGTTCATTTTTAACATCCTCATTTACTCAATATTTGAACCAATTTCTTATGTATGATAATGCTGGTATCCATGATACTTTACTGGTTTACTTGGAGGATTCAAAATTGAACTTGAGTGAGAGTCTAAAAAACTCTCTGCTTTGCCACTATGGAGGTAGTCGTAAGTGACACTCGTAACTTGAACGTAATCGAACCACAGAACCATTACCATTCAAATCATAATTCTAACCACTATATTATGACCAGTATTATAAGGTTTTTATTGACGAATGACTTGGTAAATGGTAAGTGCGCTATTTGTTGAGTGGCTCAGACGCTCAGCGGCTCAGTGGCGACTTAGGTGTCAAAAACTGTCAATGTCATTGACTGTAGACTTGGTAGTCATATTCATATACTCAAACTCAATTCTACTCATCCAATTCTCTGTCACTCTGAGTCTGAGACTCTGAGGTATCCTTGAAGTTGAATTGGAATTGTGTGAGTGCTGACCTCCGGTCACTGCATAGTGGCAAAGCATAGAGTTTTTTAGACTCTCCCTCAAGTTCATTTTTGAGTCCTATGCCTATGGCTATAAGTAGACCAGTAAAGTAGGTATCCTGGATACCAGAAATATAATACTTAAGAAATTTGTTTAAATCTTGAGTAAATGAGGAAATTAAAAATGAAATGATTCTAAAAAAGCTCTGGTTTGCCACTATGCCGGTCAGCACTCACAGCAATTCTACTCATCCAAAGCAATTTTACTCATCTGGTCAGCAATTCTACTCATCCAATTCTCTGTCACTCTGAGTCTGAGGTATCCTTGAAGTTGAATTGGAATTGTGTGAGTGCTGACCTCCGGTCAAAACCTTTAGATTGGTTATTCATTCTCATTCAAGCTGTGTATACCTAAAACTTTTACAAGCAAAAAAAAATAAAAGGTTGCAATGCACTTTTTATTTGAAGTTCATTACTTAATCACTAATTATTTTGTAATTTGTTGATCTAAGCCAAGTTTGATCACTTATTCATATTTTTTGTGATAACTTCATTCAAAACTGATTTGTTGCAATATTAGTTAGGCCTAGCTTAGTAGCTACTATGTAATGTCTGTTAAATTTGAATGATGTTTTTTTTAACTTCTGTTAATTTAAAATCTTTTTTTATCTTAATTGTCACTATTTTTACAACACTTCTCTTCAACTTCACTTCTTGTTTGTTTGTCTGTCTGTCTGTCTGCTACAAATCTTATAATCGAAATTTAATACACTTCTACCTACCTGTCCAATTGATCTGAAATTTGGCACATTTTCATATAGTTGGAGACATTGCATAAATCAATTGACAGTATACATGATTTTAAAACTTGAAAAAATTTTTTTCCAATATAAAAAATATAACAGCTCAGAACAAGCTGTGTGTGTCTAATTCCAAGCTGTGTCGGAATTAGTTTTTATGTGTCTAAAACCCTCTCTAAACTTAATCATCTATTAATTTATTTACCACTTGAAATCAGCAAATACAAGTATACTTAAAGGATTCCTAATATATTCACAGACTTTATGACGTCACTATTTCAACCATCAACGAATGCATGGAACTAAGAGAACGCTTAATATAAAGGAAAAAAGTTGAGAAGTGTCGGAATTACCCATGATGTCGGAATATACCGAGTTTACCCTATTTGACCTGTCCAATCAAGCTAAAATTTTGCACAATTGCATAAAATTAGAGACAATACATGAATCAGTTAACAGAATAAATAATTTTGAAAATTTACAAAATTTTGATATCTTAGAAAAATTGAAAAATATTTTTTTTTAAATATTTGAAATAAAATTATAAATTCATTGTACAAGTGTAACATCCAAGAAGACAAAGACACTGGATTCTTCAGAAGTGTTGTCTTTAAAAAGTCATTTTTAAATGCATATTATTACTAATTTTGTTGCTACTACCTACCAGTGTATAGTTACACAATTTGAAGGGAATTTTATTATCTGTGGAAGATTTTCAAATGCATTTGAAATTTGCCTTACTATTACTATATGCAGGTATGCACCAGACTAAAAAGATAGAAAATCTTTTTCCTGCAAAACTATATGAAGCAGAATCCTAGGTGTAGCCACCCAATAATAAACCCAAGTTTTTGCCCAATATAGGAAAACTCCTTTCTACTTGAATATTGGCTGTTAAATTGTCATTTATTGTGATAAATTTGATAAATTTTTTGCTTGAACATAAATTTAATTAAAATTACCAAAAAAATACAAATTATAATAGTATATACCAGTGGTTCCCAAAGTGGGCGATATCGCCCCCCTAGGGGCGGTGGAAAGATTTTGGGGGGCGGTACGGAAAATGAGGGCATTTGGGGGGCGATAAGGGGGCAACAGACCGAAGTTAAAGTCAGAAGTTTCAACGTTTGTTTGACAATTTGTACACAACACGTGCAGCACCTCGTGACTCCCAGCAATGGTTTTTTCACCCAGATCTGTTATTTAACCTGTCCTGGGTTTATGTCTCGGACAAATTAACAGCCGGATCAATTCAATGATCAAGGAATATCTCTCAAACTAATGAACATAAGTCGTTGAAACTTGGTACACATATTCATTTGGACCTAACGGTAATGTTTAGTTTGTGAATTTTTTTTAAATTTTGCCTTCATTTGTTTTTGCCATACCGTAAAATGGGGTAACTTTGACCACTTTTTTTATTCAAAATGATGCCATTTTTTTACTAAATAAGTTAAACTTAAATTGAAACATGCAAAATACAGGTCTATACTCTAGCTTTACTCACCATAAATTGCTGGCTCCTGCCTCTCATAGTTTTGATGTAATTTAAAAAAAAGTGATGGTCTTTGTTACCCCCTGTCTCTTATACACATCTCTACTGTGCCGCTCTCTCAACANCACATTTTTGTTTAACCTTTATCTTCTAAAATTGCAGCATACTAAATTTCAAGAAAGAGGCATATGTTTTTATATGTGTCTGTGGGGGGCAATAGAAATTCACCAGGGAGCCAAAGGGGGCGCCAGCCTGAAAAAGTTTGGGAACCACTGGTATATACATACCTACTGCCAATGCTAATAACCTTACCACAGTAATTCAGTCACTAGCCTTCAATATTAACAAGCTAACATGTAGGTATAACTGGGCTTAACTGAACCACCTCTTTCTAGAGCAATCAAAACAGCAATGTTTTGAAAGTTTTGCCCAATATCCAATCTGGAATATTTTACAAAACTTTCCTGAAACCCTGGGTAAAAGAGATGGTTTCACGGGTGATGACAAAAATTGCTGTTAGTGATGGAATGTTTTTTTTTTCTAAAGAAATTGGAAGCGTCATAAAATCAGGTGAAATTGGCGTAATTCATGGGTGTTTTTGTCTGATTCATGGGTAGCTCCTATGCTCCTGCCTAGTTCTCCAGTTTGGGTAGTCATCATGGTTTTCAATAATCAAACCCTAATAATTGTAGTTCTGGCTTGTATTGCATATTTTTTAGTGGCAAGCAGAAAGGTAAGTGAAGTATCTGCTAAATGACAACTTACGTGTCATTAATGGTACAGTTTGATTAAGTTTTTATTACCAGCTTTAGTTATGTATGTTTGGAGTCATTGTTAACCCTTTTGTAGGTGCTACTGGTGCAAACTTTGAGGCGATATTTACATGGTTGATACTGGCAACACATTGGGCATACATAGACATCTTTTTTTGTGCTGGCGCTGGTTAGTTCTAAGGCTGGAGAAACATAATGTCAGCTAAATCAAAGACTCTGATATGACACAGCATTAGGCCAATTTAAGGACATCTGCAATGAAGTTGAGGCTCCACTGAATTCTAAAGTTGAGGCTCCACTGAATTCTAAAGTTGAGACATACATGAGAAAAGTAGATGAATACATCATAAGTTTTAATGGCTAACCAAAATCAAAGTCAACACCTTGGCAAAAGATTGAAGAAAGTCTTTTATGCCTTTACAACCTGTGCCTATGGCAGATGAGAGTAATTAGTTCCAACCAAGTGGAGAGCTCTCTTTATGCTCTCATCTCTTGTTTGTTTGTCATTAATTTTAAACCAAAAATTGTAAGAAAAGAACCATATTTGTTTCCCTGGCAAAAGTCAATAAAAATAGGTTGGCTGGAAGAAGGCTCATAATGGGAAGCTACTGGCCACTACTTGCTATTAGCATTTGAACCAAGCAGTGCCCCTGTATATGAGGCCCATAGCCTGGTAATTAGTGATGATTAGTACTGACCGTGGTTTAAATAAAAACAAATCAACATAAAAATTTGCATTGGTTCCTACTGCAGAATCTGGCAATTAATTAAATATATTTTAAATTTCATGTAGATCCATTCAGAACTGAGGGACTTGCAAGCTGTTCAATTGTGTAACTTGTTTTTTTATCAAAAGTAAAATGACATAGAAATCTGTAACAACAATTCCTCCCTTTGCCTATTTACAAAAATTAGTTTACAATTTTACTCTGGCACTTCAAATTAGCTAGATGGGCAATAGCAATTTCATTTTACATAGTAATATGACTGAAACATATTAAGCAGACGAAATGTTGTTCAGATAATGTCTGAAACAATGCATCATTCTTATTACATGATAAGGGTTAACTAGTATGTCTCACTTGGTCTTACTATAAAAGATGGAAATTCTGGGAAAATTTGAAACTCCCATTTTAACCAGGACATCTTCTTGTCTCAGTATTTTCCTGGAATTCCCATGTAGTGCTGTAAACTGCCTCAGTTGTATTGCTAACCTGGACAAACTGTTTTGTCTTGAATGGAAAAAAGTCCACCAAGTGCAGGAGTCTAAACATCAGGATGCATTTGTCTACTAGAGGTCTTTGATTTTTGTCTATTTCTGGAGCCAAAATATTGATACAAGACAAAAGTCTATGTATGTGCTTTGCTGCCCTAATTTCACACACTTGACTGGGATTTTAGTTATAATTAATTTTTCTAAATGGTTTCAATGACTTATGAGTTGGTTTCAACTAAAAATAACATAAAAAATGAATTTATAGCCTTAAAAAGCATAGTGAATGAGAATGTCAGTAAAAAAAAAAAAAAAGATTTTTTTAAAGGACCAATTTGGGTTTTTTTGTGCACTGATTTGATTAACCATAATATGCAAATTAGGTTTAGTCGAAAGTTAACTATGATTTTAAAGAAAGTTCTTGTAGTGATGACATAAAATAAGTTCCTTGACACCACTTTGAAGCTTACTTTTTCAGTAATTCTGTATAAGAATGACAAATCTCTCAAATATCATGAGAGCTTACAAAAATCATTAAATGTACTTTGGTATGAAGTAAAGATCTTATGGTCTCTTTTTTATATTATATCATTGTGAATTTTGTGATGGTTTGAGTGTCTTGAGAGCATGTTAGAAAACTTTTCCATACTTAAATTATTGTATACCTAGCAATTGTTTTTTTTTTATTTATTTGAAGTGGGTTTTTTCTAGAGGTCAGCACTATATACAGGGTCATCAATATTTAGCGTTACAACTTTGAGTGGTTAGAACTATGAATGAAACACAATTGTGAATGTTTAGGAATGTATTTTTGTAGGCAGAGGTTCAGAGATACAATTCCCACAATTTCATTCAATATGTCCACCATCTGCATCAATAACGAGTTGTAGACGCTTATGTGCCATCATGAATGCGGGAAAGAAGAATCTTGGATCTTTGGAGGCGTTTGTCAACAACTTGAGCAGACAGTGTTTTTTGACATGCTTGAATGGGGACAACTTTAGGTCCTTCTGGAGAACAGTCGACATGATTCCATACAACACATTTGACTGTTTTGCAAGTGTATTGATTTTGAAAAAACAATGTAACACTAAATATTGATGACCCTGTATACTGTAAATAAAAAAGCATTATGCTAGTATAATGTCACAAAAGCTCATGGAGCCCTTGAATAACACAAAGTCTTTTTTCTCTTGAAGCATCTTCTTTCCAAGCCATCATTTGATTGCTTGTGCCTAGATTTCCTCAGGCAAAACGTCATACAATGAAGTGTTGAATCTCAAGGTTGAGCATTTAGTTTTTGAATTCATCCAAATTAAATACCTGTAGCTGTAAAACTTCAGTATAAAATTAGAACTTCCACATCTAAGTTAGGACACAAGCAAGTAGAATATTGTCAAAGCTAGTATATCTGTGATGTTAATGAGCAATAATTCTGGATAAGCTCCATGTCATTAGAGTAATTTTAAGGGGAGCTTGGGTAAAAAATCTTTTATTTATGAATGGATTATTTTGAACCTTGCTACACACATTCAAAACAGAAATTAACTATTTTTTTTTTGTTCATGTAAATTTATTTTGAAAAATGAAAGAAAACATGAAATATATAGAAAATGGCAAAAAGGGCGGTATTGTAAAAATTCTCATTCAATGAACATGCTACAACATTGAGAGACATAGAATTTGATTAGAATAGAAACATTAGAAAACATAAAATGATGTTTTTTTTTTTTCATTTTTCCCTCTACCCTCCCCCATTTTTTCTCAATATGTAATCCAAACTAAAACAAAATAAAGAAAAGTGATCTGTGGATCGCTAGATATATTTTTTACAAATCTAATTTTATATCTCTCAATGCTTTAGCTTGAAAATCATCGGATATAGCTTTTTAAGAAGGCATATTATGGAAATTTTAATTGTTCAGGGGAGCCAAATAATCAAAATTGATTGACACAAGAAAAAATGGCTTGATGCTGTAGCCCCAGCTTTTCCATGGAAATTACTTGGATTAAGGGTACCATCATGGATTCTTAGACGTATTATTGTCAATTTTTACGCAAATAATAATTTTCTAATGCAATTTTTCAAGTATAACAGGTATACTTGAACATACTCTGGTCTTGAATGCTCAATATTCTCTTGAATACCGTACTCTGGTCATTTTATAAAAGTTCAAAATGGCCTTACGCAAAAAAAGTATTACATATAAATCCATGCTATTTGCTTTTGTTTAATGCGCCTTGTTTGCAGCTTCAAAATGAGTCCCAACACATTGCAACCATTGCAAATAATCTATAAATTCAATTTTTCACTGTAATCTCTCATTATATCTGTACATTTAGTTGAAAAGTGTTCATTTTATATAAATTTCAAACTGCCTAATGCAAAAATTGAAGTACAAACATATTTGTGGTTAAATTCCCCTTTTTGCAGCTACAAAAGGTGCATAAAATCAGCTTAATTAATGCAAATAAGAATCTATAAGTACCATTTTTCTTCAATAGATCTTTGTACATATTGTCAAAAAATATTTATTTTATGTAAATTTTTGAACTGCTTTATGCAAAATCTAGAGCATGCACATGCATGTGGTTTGCTGAATAGACTTCTTCTTTGCAGCTACGAAATGAGCTTAAGAGACTGAAAAGCCAAGTTATTAGATTTTTTTACCCTAAGTGAAATAGGAACCATGAACTACATAACAGAGATATGCCCCTGTTAAATATATATATAAATCCTGGCTTGTCAGTTCCTGTTATATTAAACTCCATTGAATATTCCTGATAAAGTAATTTTAGTAAGGGATAGACTGGTTCAAACCCACCACAAACATGGCATTTCTATGAAATTCTCTCTTTGAAATTGAACTTTGTTTATAAATCGGTGAAATTCAAATTTCCGTTGAATAACCTGTCATAAATTGTTATTGTTATTAACAAAAAATAATTTCAATGTTGCAAAAAAATATATATAAATCTCAGTCTCAATAGTTCCTATTCATAAATTGAAGTAATTTTTTACTAAAACTTATTGGAAATGTTACTATTGGTTATCATTCCAGGTTACATTTGTCTAATTCAATTTATTCCACATGCATAAATTATTTTCAGTAATGTGTCCTGAATATGAAGTGTTCCTGATTTCATTCAGAGTTATTTTATTATGATATGGTTGCCCTTAACTGGACATGATCTGCTAGGCTCTGCTATCTCCATGCCTGAGGCATGGAGATAGCTTATCTGTGATAGCTTGGCAGAAAAATTCTACAACCAAACAGTATTGCATTCCTATGAATTATATGCATATTGCTGCAGTGCTGTGGATCCTTTTGATGTAGCAGCTCCAAAGCAAATGCTTATTAGATGCTTCCTGCCTTAATGGAAATCTCATTAATAACCATCATTTAACAGCATGAAAATTCTTAAGTGAAAGATGATCCTGCTGTTTTAAGTGACTGAAGTCTCTAGCTTCTCCTCAGCTTTGGTTATTTGGATTGCAGCATTGTAATGGGGTTGAATCATTTGATTTTCCCATCTCTGTTGCCATACAGTCTAGACCCCCAAGCATTCTGATGTACAATCATGCTGTGTATATTATTGACAAAGAATATTTTTATTTTTGTGTTGTTTACATTTTTATCATCAAAGGCTTCTTGCCATCAAATTATTGGCTGTTTTCATTTATGGTTATGCTGCTTGATATATTTCTAGCAGTTTATTAATTGCATGAGCACTTTTAGTTCTTCCCAACTTGTTTTATGCTCCCTTATCAATGTATATAATTTTGATCTATTATCATCTTAGAGCTTCTCCAATCAATGTAATATAATGCTACCAAAAAATATTGAAATGTACATAGATGTTGTTCATTTAATTGATTCAAACTTCCTCTCAAAGGTCATGTCAATTTAATCCTTGTAAATCCCTATGGTCCACCCCACAGGCACTTCAGGGTTAATGATTGCATGATGGTTTAATTTTAAATCAAGTGTTTTCTGCCTTTAATACCCTAGCATTTTGTTCACCCCAGATGAAGGCACCTCCTAACCCCAGCCGTGTTATTCAGTGCTGCTTGTTGTGCCCTTTAACTCTGTTTTGAGTTCCTCTTTAGTTTATAGTGACCTAAAACAAACACCATGGATGAGAGAAGATATTCGTAAGTAATCTATTTTTCCTTACAATGTAATTGCTTGTTACTTGTGTTGGTCTTGATGCTTTTTATCAGTATACTCATACAGTATACATCAATGTCCAATAAATTGTTTCATTTTGAACTGTGTTGCTTTGACATGATGTGCTGTATTGTAGGTCACCAGTCATGTTAGTAGTGATTTTGACGCAGTTCTTTGAAGCCTTTTATAAAATATTCATTCAAAATTTATCATGACCATGCTCAATATCTGTGGTGTTGCTATTTTCAATTTATATTTACTTCTATTCCAAAATTATGATGCTATGCCAGATTTTGAAAATATGAGATTTGTACAAATGTATCATTTAAAATATATCTTTTTCATTTTTATTACTCTGAGCTCATTATATATCAATCATTTTTATGTTTGGGGAAAATTCTATCATGAAATAAAAAATTTTATTGTGAAAGAGAAGCTCCTGCTGGCTCTCATAATTTACAGTAATGCTTTAACATTCTTGCCATGAAGCTATGAAGTATGTTGTTAATGCAAGATCTCCTCTGGATGAATGTTTTTTCCTGCTAGGCTGCTGGTGTTGGATGATTTTCTTGTGTCCCTGTGTACATTGAGCTGGGAACAAAACAACAGGAAAGCTTGAGTAAATTATACCTGAGAATTTATTGGGAAAAATCCTCACTTTTCTTTAACTTGGAGCTAATATATATAATTAACTAATATGAGTGTAATATTTCTGCTGTTCATATTTTATTAATAGATTTATATCCCTTCTGTTTCTTAAAATAACTTTTAGCTTTGATGGTTTCTACAACAATGGTGAGCAAAAACCTGTTAGCTGAAATTGATCATGTTCAAATGTTTTGATTTGTAAAAAAGCACAATACACAAGTGTAATGGCACCTTCTTGCTAGGCCTAATGGAGTTCCTCATGTTCGGGTGATCAGGAAATTTGAATGGTTATTTAGTTGATGACTTGTATAATATTGTGTTTATGCATACTTCCTTATCAAGAGGTCCCTCAAGTCAATCATAAACTCAGACAAGCAGGCAAATTTTAAAAAATGAAAAAAAAATTATGTTCTTTTATGTCTTATGTTATGTTTGGGTAAATTTATTATAAAAATCAATTATTTGATTCCTTCTTTATTTTAAAAGTGCCAACCTTTGTTGTGATGTCCTAACTTGATGCTGAGGATTTTTTCTTATCACTCTGAACTGTCTGCTAAAATTCTCATTTATTTTGCTATCAACTTGTTCCCTGTTGGCCCACTCAACATCTGGCAACATGTGCCCATGCATCATTTGGATTCATTTTGCACAAGCTTCCATTTCTCTCTTCTCTTTAAAGTTGCATTGATGGTGTTACATTTTGGGAGAAAATATATAGCAGTTTCAAGAGTTGATATGTAGAAATTTGAGGATGGCTTAGATGGGTAGAAATTACAGAATGTAAAATGTTTAGTGTAGCTCAAAATTTCAAGGGGTTTGTCTTTTGTTGTTTAGTAACTCAATATCATATCTTGATGCATCTCAAGAGCTCTAGTACAGTTGTTAGGAACTTGCTTGTAAAATTCATCCTTCTGAGAAGCTGAAGAAGAAGAAGAAGTATTGTTTGAGTTTTAGATGATGGGAGATTTTTCCTCTATATTGAGTAACATTTAATGAAGCATTATATATCTAGTTACATTTCTTTGTCCCATTTTAGTAACATTTTGTTTCTTGTATGTTGTTAAAGCCAACTATCAGCAATAGACTCAAAGGATAAATAATTTTATTTAAGACAATATTTATAAACAAAATTGAGAGACAGAGCTTCACACAAGTTCTCTAACTGACATGCTGAGTTGCTAAAGTAATATTTGATGCAATATATGTTTGATGTGCAGCACAACGGGGGAGTCGCTGTACCAGACGCTGGGCGTGCCAAAAGAGTCCACACCTGAAGAGATAAAGAAGACCTACAGGAAGTTGGCCCTCAAATATCACCCTGACAAGAACCCCAACAACCCTGAGGCTGCTGAGAAGGTCTGGTGATGTGATGAGGGCTGTGATGTGATGAGGGCTGCAGCTGTGATGTGATGAGGGCTGCAGCTGTGATGTGATGAGGGCTGCAGCTGTGATGTGATGAGGGCTGCNGGATTAACAAGTCATGGATGATTGATGCAGTGGATTAACAAGTCATGGATGATTGATGCAGTGGATTAACAAGTCATGGATGATTGATGCAGTGGATTAACAAGTCATGGATGATTGATGCAGTGGATTAACATGTCATGGATGATTGATGCTGTGGATTAACAAGTCATGGATGATTGATGCTGTGGATTATCAAGTCATGGATGATTGCTATTGTGTGGTAATTAATGGATGATTAGAAGTTCAATGAAATTAATATGTGTGCTGGGGGCCTGAAGTGCTGGTGATGTACAGTTTACAGTAATATGCAGTGAATTATTGTACACATAATTTTGAACTACAATATTCAATCAATGACCATATACCACAGTCATGATTAATTTTACAGAGGATTGCATAGCACTATATTGGAATAATTATTTTTGCTACACTGTAAAGTTTATCTGTGTTATCAACACACAATTCGTACTTATGAAAGTATCTGTCTCATGATCCTTGTTAGATGATGATACTGAACATGTAGAGAACATTGTGACTTCTTGGTCAGAACTTTAGTACTTGTGAAGTTCTATGATCCTTGGTCACATCCTGAGGCCGCGTCAAACAATATTTTCTGACCATGCCCAGGCAGATCTCCCTTTCTAGCACTTATATAAGCTCTCGCGGCACTTTTTAAAAGCAAGTGAGATGCTTGCAGCTTTATTTGTGCTGCCAAACATTACCCATGTTGCCAGAAATTCTCATGCTCCTTGACCCACAGTTCAAGGAAGTGAACCACGCACACCGCATCCTGAGCGACCAGACCAAGCGCAACATATACGACACGTACGGCTCCCTGGGGCTGTACATCGCTGAGCAGTTCGGCGAGGAGAATGTCAACACATACTTCCTTGTCAACTCGGGCTGGTGCAAGGTATTCGCGGAGACCAATAACGTACAACTTGTTTGTATACTTGCATTTATATGAGTATATTATAGTTTGTTTTTTTTTTTGTCGTGACATGGCTGACATTTTACTCAAGACACAACTTTTTAAAATAGAAACTGCTTTTCTAACTGACCAAACATTGTTGCATACAAAACTCCTGTTCCAACATCAAAAAATCTTTATCTTTACAGTCATTGCGATTGTAAAGAAAAAACGCTTTTCCAACTATGCAATACATTTTTAGTGACCAAGTCTATGTCTCAAGAAGAGAAGATTGATTAGTTTGTTGTTTGCAGGCGCTGTGCTTGTTCTGCGGTATAGCGACCCTGGGTTACTTCTGCTGCTGCTGCTTCTGTTGCTGCTGCAACTTCTGCTTCGGCAAGTGCAAGCCCCGGCCACCCGAGGACAGCGGCGACTACCAGAACCTCAATGTCAGTCCCTTCTTTCTTGCCTATTCCTTATTTCTGTGTTTATTTAATGCTCAGTACCTGCAAATTTATAAAGCTTCACTATAAAAATTGTACGAAGATGCTTTATTGTTTCTGTGTCTATTTAATGCTCACTACACTACTTTAAAAGACAGGCTATTTTATTTTAATACGTGTTTTGTTCATGTTTTTCTTGTAATTATATGAAAAATTAGTTAATCCGCCTTTGGTTCTAACAAGTGCCCGTGTTTCTTTTGCAAGCCTAATTGACGATAGGGCTCCCAGCTCAGCATTGAGGCTCACTTTTAACTTTGATCCTAACAATAATTTAATTGGCCGAGTATTAATCGAATTCTAGCTTCTTGTCCATAAAGTTGAAATGTTTTGCTTTCTTTTAATTTAATTTGTTGAAGTTCATTGCGGGCAGAATGAAATGTTGACTTAGTTGTCAGGAATGAGATATATTTGCAAATAAGGCATAGAAGTTATATGGGAAAAAATATTGTTGTTTTGCCTAGGCATGAAACTGATTCATTTTTATTCATACGTTAAAAATGTTTTTTGTTTACTTTGGCGTGAAACTGAGCCATTATTAATTCATATGTTTTAGAGGCAGGAATATTTCGACTTATCTGAGGAATGGAAGGAAAATTAACCCTTAAGCAATGTTCTTAAAGACAAGTTAATTAATTAGGCACATTACTGAAGCTCCTGACCTGAGATTGGTATGAAGCATTTACTGGATTGTTTTGTTTGCACGCTGCTGCTGGTGTAGGCTGACGCTGATCTCTTGGTAAGACCTTGGCGCTTTGCCTCCTGAAGGTAACCCTCAGTTGCAGGCTGCAGATACACGTAGCGTTGACACGTTAATGTATTCGTAGACCTCGACTTTGCTGTCGGCGCATCTGTTTTGCACGAGACAAGCTTTTCAGCAAATGTAATTACTCAACGCCTCCCTCTTTGCTTTGCTGAATTATGGCGCACAAAATTGATCTTACGAGTCAATCATTAACTTTGATCTCATTTTTCGCTCAATGATCAGTTCATGCGAACAGTGTCATTTTTTAATACTTTTTAATAGTGATAATTTTAAAACTTGTCTATGAAAATAAATGATGTTTGCTGCAGAATCCAAGTATTGAAGAAGAAATTGAAGAATTCTTGTTGATGAGTGTCCTTGTGCAAAATTGATACGCTTGCTCTAGCTTTTCCATCTTATTTCAGTCAACCTTATTTTTGTTGCTTACTTTGTATTCTACAACTTTAAATAACATACAAGCTTGGTATGTTTTAATCCTAAACACACCATTAATCAAAACTTAGTGTGAATTGCCATCTAGTTACTAGTTGCTAATCCTACCTCATTTATAGTCGAGGCTCGGGCTAGTTTGTGCTCCGGCCCTCCTCTTCCTAGCCTCTAGATGCGACGCTTATTAGATCAACTTATTAATTAATAAGACTTAATGACTTGCATTAAACGTTGACGTGTCGGTGTTGCATGCACCACGGCAGAGCTGCTGGTCATGGATGATGAGATGTACAGGACACGACGCTCATGTACGTGTGTGTGTGTTGTGTGTACGTGAACGGAGCACGTAGCGTACACGTGTGTAGTGGTAGGATGCTAGTGTAGTGCGCTGTGTGCAGTATAGGTGCAGTGTGTGCTCAGGAGTATCACTCAATACTGTGCAGCCGGAAAATCAGGAGCCGAAAAATCCTAGCGACCCTGTCACTGATCAGCCCAAGTCGTCGGCGGCGGCGCCGGGCATCAAGGTCAGTTCCCAGCCTCAGTTTCACCGGCCGCTTCTTCTAGGCTAAAATTTCATTTAATTCTCTCATCTCATGCCTCACTTATCCCTTTTTTTTTGGTTCAAAAATCAATATTTATTAGCACTTGCATCACTTAGCTACCTTCTTTTAATACCTTAATTTTTTTTATTTCATGAAACGGATTTGTTTTTATTTTATGTTTGCTGTCATCGCATTTCATTTACTTGTCGCTCGTGAAGCAAAGATACCAAATAAAGAGAGGGTAATGTGTCCTCTTCACAAGTCATTGGGCAAGAGTTTAATCTAATTTCCCTGACAACATAAGAACTAATGCATCAATACTCAGTGATGTTTCCGGCCCTTGTTTGCCCACGTGACAATCCTCCACATGTATCCTAATAATAGAGCGTTTTGTTGTATTTGATCTGCCAATACTACGATGACTTGCGTTGAATCAATGCGTTGGATTTTCCCGCGATTGTGGTCGGTACTTTGGTTCTTGTCCAAGTGCTTCATAGCAAGGTAAACAACTGTTGACACGCATGCTTTCGTTTCACATAAACCTTGAGTTTTATTCCGTTTCCTTCCCTTATTGTTATCTTCATCTGGGATTGTGTTCAAGTCGCCAGGGTTTCTGAGGCTTATTGAGTTTATCTTGCCCTTTGATTTCCACCCCCCCGTATCATGTCACTTGCAGTCTCCTTGCCGTGGTCATATATCTCATACTTTCTTTAACAGCCCATGGCGCTTTCTGGTTCAACTTACACGAGTATTTTTCTTGTCTGCTCCTTAGTGAAGCTTGGTTACCAGTAAGAAAGGTTTCGCGCTATCGCGTTTCTCAAGTGCACACTTTTCCTCACATGATGCTAAGCTTTTCTGGTGACGACGGCGACACGTTGCTTTCAAGTCGCGTGAAACATCCTCTCATCCGGGCCCCACTCATACTTACAGAACACTCTATGCTGCGTACATGTTGGTCCCTGCGGTACATGTGGTACAAACATGTTGGTCCTCGCGGTACACGTGGTACAAACATGTTGGTCCTCGCGGTACACGTGGTACAAACATGTTGGTCCTCGCGGTACACGTGGTATAAATATGTTGGTCCCCGCAAGCCGTGTAGGGTTGTAACGATGTAGGTACTGAGTCTCTCTGAGACAGTATGCATCTCCTTGACGTGTTTCGTCATGCAAGTGCTGTTGTTGCAAGTGAAGATTTCGTTCAAACTTCCAGTATTGGGTAATGAATTTTTCGTTCTGTTTTTAAAACTTAACTTTCCACTGAAGATTTTGCTCAATTCGTCAGTAATATACGCTGAATGTTTCGTTTAAGTGCAATCCGTCAGTCCTGGGTGCCAAATGTTTAATTTAATTCGTCAAACATGGGTGCTTAATTATTCGTTTGATTAGACATTACTAGGCGCTGAATTTTTAGTTCAATATTTCAGAACTAGGTGCCGAATCAGTCGTCAATAGTGGGTGCTAAGTGTTTCGTTCAATTCGCCTGTATCGAGCGCTGAATTTTGTGTTCAATTCGTCCAAAATGTGTACTGAATCTTTTGCTCAGTCGGCAGTACCATGTGCTGAACTTCACGTTCAATTCGTGAGGACTAAATGCTGAATGTTACGTCAATTTCGTCTGTACTGGTCGCTGAATATTACGTTCAATTTGTCAGATATGGGAGCTGAATGTTTCGTTAATTTGTCATAACTGGGCGCTGAATGTTTCCTTCAATTTGTCCTAACTGGACGCTGAATGTTTCGTTCAACTTGTCATAACTGGGCCCTGAATTTAACTGGGCGCTGAATGTTTCGTTCAACTTGTCATAACTGGGCCCTGAATATTTCGTTCAATTTGTCCTAACTGGGCGCTGAATGTTTCGTTCAATTTGCCCTAACTGGGCGCCGAATGTTTCGTTCAAATTGTCCTAACTGGATGCTGAATATTTTGTTCAATTTGCCCTAACTGGGCGCTTGGTTTTTCTAGTGAAACAATCGGGAGGCTAACTGTCCAGTCAAACGAATTAGCAATTTCTCTAATTTTTTATATAATATTTCGTTCAATTTGCCCCCACCTGGGCGCTGAATGTTTCGTTCAATTTGTCCTAACTGGGCGCCGAATGTTTCATCTATTTGTCTTAACTCGGCGCTGAATATTCTGTTCAATTTGTCATAACTGGGCGCTGAAAGTTTTGTTCAATTTGTCATAACTGGGCGCTGAAAGTTTTGTTCAATTAGTCATAACTGGGCGCTGAATGTTTCGTTCAATTTGTCATAACTGGGCGCTGAATGTTTCGTTCAATTTGTCATAACTGGGCGCTGAGTGTTTCGTTCAATTTGTCATAACTGGACGCTGAATGTTTCGTTCAATTTGTCATAACTGGTCGCTGAATATTTCGTTCAATTTGTCATAACTGGGCGCTGAATGTTTCGTCTATTCGTTGCAATTGGGTACTGAATGTTTAGTTCAATTCGTCTAAACTGGTTGCTTAAATATATGTTCAATTCGTTAAAACTGGGTGCTTAATTTTTCGTTCGATTAGACATTACTGAGTTCTGAATGTTTCGTTCAACTTGTCATAACTGGGCGCTGAATGTTTCGTCTATTTTCCCATCAGGCCATTACTGAAGGTACAGATTCGCAAGCCGAGGATGACACAGACGATGAACAAGGTGATGGTTTATAGCTTCGTTGTAGCATATCGCTTCCTGTCCTTCACTTCGCTTGGGCGCTTCTTGGTTCTTCTAGTGAAACTATCGGGAGGCTAACTGTCCAGTCAAATAAATCTGGGAATTTTTCTAATTTTTTATTCATATATGCCTCGTCATAATTAATTGCTTTGATTTTACTATGGTTTTATCTGCTTTTAAGTCATTATTTCAGTTTTAACACCATCTTCATTTTCGGGAATATGTCCAACTGTTTATTGTTTATTACCTTGAGCATCACTCATTCTATGCATCATTCTGTACTCTCCAACTAATTATCTATTTCTTCAGCTCTAACCAATAGTATGCAGGCTATCAGCTCGCTAAATGATTGTCTCATGTAGAAAATGTCCCCTGAAACAAGACCAAATCTCAGTACCAGCCCAGCCTAGACGTTGACACAAGAACCAGCGCTACTCGGTGAGCGGTCAGTGCCCAGGTCAGTGTCCTCGAGCGTAGCGTGACCAGCTGGTCGGCTAATTTACTATGCAGCACTTGCAGTAAATTAGCCTAATTAAATTACCCTAAGCAGTAATTTACTATGCAGCTTGTTACCCCCATCTTTTATTCAGTGGTATGTTACCCCCCATCTTGTATACCCGCCTTCCTCCAGCTGGGGGTCACAGGTTCCCACTCTGATAGGGGGCCACGATCCCGCTCTGATAGGGGGCCACGATCCCACTCTGATAGGGGGCCACGATCCCACTCTGATAGGGGCTACGGTACGATTCCACTTTGATAGGGGCTACGATCCCACTCTGATAGGGGGCCACGATCCCACTCTGATAGGGGGCCACGATCCCACTCTGATAGGGGGCCACGATCCCACTCTGATAGGGGGCTACGTCTCGGTGATAATGATAACACTTTTAGATGATACCTTTTCTGGATCGAATCGAACAAGACTTCAAGGAGTGTCGTTAGAAAAATACTCACGACCAAAACCATAATTACTGACTAATTTTGAAGGAAACGCGTCATTAGGAATGTTATGAATTGTCTTCACACAAGGCAAATACTGTAAATAGCTTTCTTAGCTCAATCTCTAGCAATGAAGCCCGAATGTAGTCATGCCCATCGTAGTGCATTGTTTGAATGGAATTTACCAATTCAAAGAGTATCTACAACAACCACAACCGATGAGCTAGCCATGCTATTCTGCGTCAAAAAGGTGAAGTATTTAATCTTCTGGACATTAATTTCCTCGCAATATTGTGTTGTACAAATGACGTGTAAAGCTCCGCGCTCGATGCGCCAGTATAAGAACGGCGCGGCGTGCTGGTGCTGCGCCCGGGGGCCATACTTTCAAAACTCGCTAAGGGAACGTAAGTACTTAAGCTCTATCTTCTTGTCTATGATTGGTGGATTTTACTTAAAAGACCGTCTATGATTGGCTGATGAACTTACGATCTCTTAACTTTTTTTGAAAGTATAGGCCCTGGTCGCCGCCCTAGAGCATCGCGGCAGTCCAGGCTGTGCGTGTGAGGGCATCTGCCTGTGGCTGCGGTACAAACGCGTGCTTTCATTGATAGTTACGAACCTCACCACACTCCCTCACACCCTACTTATCACCACACTCCCTACCCCCCTACCTATCACCACACTCCCTACCCCCTACTACCTATCACCACACTCCCTCACCCCGTACCTATCAACATGAGTGATGCGGACGATCTGAGCGAGTTGGACATTTCCAACATTGCATATTTGTAGTGGTGTGCATGTAGTGATGTGGCTAGTGGCTTGATGTAGTGTGGCTAATGGCTCGTTGTGATGTGCCTTGTTTGTTAGTGTAACGCGTGTTGCTGTGACACCAGTTGTGATGTCTGTGATGGCGCTGCATGTGCTGCGGTGCATCTCTGCTTAGTTGTATTTGTGTTGTCTGGAATGTCTGAACCCTGCCCTGCTAAGGAGGACTGATCCCGTAATGTTTCTTGTGAAGTCTCTGGACAGCATCGCTACGTCTCATGCTGCTATATAACGCAGCGCCGCCACATGCTCCTGCTGTTCATTTATCTTGTATTTGTGTGGAGTAACGCTTGGGTTTGCCTGCTGCCTGGCACGCAGTATCGTGCAGTTCTATACCAGTTATTTGTTCTCTCTTTAATTGGAGCTCTTTTAGCTATGATTCTCTGCATGACCTTATTGAATAGCGCTGCACTTACCTACATGTTTTCCTTTAGTGGTGTGTGTTCACCACGAAATCATTGTTCACAGCTGTTCACCACACAACGATTGTTCACAGCTGTTCACCACACAACGATTGTTCACAGCTGTTCACCACACAACGATTGTTCACAGCTGTTCACCACACAAAGATTGTTCACAACTGTTCACCACACAACGATTGTTCACAGCTGTTCCCTTAACAATGATTGTTCACAACTGTTCACCACGAATGATTGTTCACAACTGTTCACCACGCAATGATTGTTCACAACTGTTCACCACGCAATGATTGTTCACAACTGTTCACCACGTAATGATTGTTCACAACTGTTCACCACACAATGATTGTTCACAGCTGTTCACCACACAATGATTGTTCACAACTGTTCACCACGCAATGATTGTTCACAACTGTTCACCACGCAATCATTGTTCACAGTTGAGTTAATGAGCCACCTCCTCTCACAATATGAGTTAATGAGCCACATCTTCTCACAACATGAGTTAATGAGCCACCTCCTCTCACAATATGAGTCAATGAGCCACCTCCTCTCACAATATGAGTTAATGAGCCACATCTTCTCACAACATAAGTTAATGAGCCACCTCCTCTCAGAATTATGACACGCAATGTCACGTAACATTACCTAAAGGATGTCAACAGCTTGGCCTTTAACTATGTGACCGCGCACGTTGCCTGAGTTGAATATATCGCGGCTGAGGGACAAGTTTTCCAACAACCTCGTAAGTTTTGCTTCATCGCCGCATGTTTGATAACTTTAATGTTGGTGTTTGGATCAATTTATTTCTGTAATTTCTGACTGAAATGTATGCGGCGTGCAGGAGGAGCTGGAGGAGGAGGCAGCTCGTGGTGGAGCAAGTGGTGGAAGCGGCCAGCCCGTGACGCAGCAACCAACCAGCAACCCGTTCAAGTGAGTTATGTGGTGGTAGAGGTGCTGGTGGTGGTGAAGTATGATGTGCCTCGGGTGGTGGTGATGTCTGTATGATATGATTCAGGTGGTGATGATGCCTCTATGAAGTGAGTTAGGTGTTGGGTGATGCCTGTATGATGTACCTCAGGTGGTGGTGATGGTGCATGCCTGAGTTGTGATGTGTCCCGGCAACACTTCTCTGGCAGTGTTGCGATGGTGACTGTGCAGCACCTGCAAGTATCCCCCGAAACGCTCTTGTGTTTCGGGGGATACTTATCAAGTATCCCCCGAAACGAAAGTTTCTTCTTGTGTTTCGTGCGTCAGCAGCTGATGCAGCATCAGACGCTCTCCTCCGTCGCTGTCTGGTTAAAAGAACGCCTCGTTGGTCGCTCTATTTTCCTTACTTGATGCATTCCATGTATTGGTTTGTGTGAATTTGTGTGTGTTCTTCCTTACTTGATGCATTCCACGTATTGATTTGTGTGAATTTGTGTGTGTTCTTCCTTACTTGATGCATTCCACGTATTGGTTTGTGTGAATTTGTTTGTGTTCACTTATACCACTATATTTCTGAATTAGTGTATATTCTGTATGCATTTTCTGATGAGAGCAGAGAGCGAGAGCACACGTCGTGTGCACGACTGAAGTGACCACCCGCAAGTTTTATTCTTTAAAGCGCCGCGTTGTCCACGCGACACCTGAGGCGTGCGTGTGGTACGCGTCAGTGCAATAACTCTTGTTCTGATTTATGTCAGGACTTTATGCAGGCATTAATGGCAATTAGTGCACATCCCTAGACAAAAGAGTTGAGCCCAAGCATCGGCCCAATAAAGCATCCGCCATTAACAGGGCGGGTCAGGCTGCGGGAGCGGCGGCAGGGGGCCAGCAGTGGGCCAGTGAGGGCCCGGGTGTGGCCCCCGCCAGTAACCCGTTCAGGTAGTCCCCGGCACTCAACACCTCACGTGACCTGCTTCAGGGCGCTGCCGGAGACCGTGTCGATCTAGCGAGTCTCAGGCTTAGCTCGCATTCACTGTATCCAGCGAGCCTCGTTTTCGAAATTTTCGCTCCAAACAGACTTTTCTATAAGAAAATAATCTTATTCTAGCTCCGATATTCATCAATTACTCCCATACTCTTAACCCCCGCCACCCAACCAACTCGCTATATTCAGTTAATATATCTCAGACCAACAACCGCGACCATTAATAACTAACCACAATCTTGTATCGTGTTAATTATCGACGTCTCTGGCAGCGCCACTCGAAAGGGTTTGCTTGCATGCCTCCTCTCCTGATGTATTTGTCTGAGTGTACATGATCGTGACATGCAAGGTAGACGTTTGCACTGCACAACTGGCCTTAGGTCAGAGTATTTAGTGACTTGCTTACGTATACTATTGTTTAGTGCCTTGTTAGAATAGTTACATGCCTTACTTATCAACTTATCCTGCTATTTGTTGACTTGTTAGAATATTTACATGCCTTACTTATCCACTTATCTTGTTGTTTGGTGGCTTGTTAGAATAGGTACATGCCTTACTTATCCACTTATCCTGCTATTTGGTTCCTAGCAGGAATATCAGCTAGCCTTACGTATTCTGTTGTTTAGTGCCTTGTTAGAACAGGTACATGTCTTACTTATCACTTATCCTGTTGTTTAGTGCCTTGCAGGAATATCAGCGAGCTTATTTATAGAGTATTCCGCTTGCCCGAATGTCTGTCCTGCTGCCTGGTGTTGCTTCTTTGGCCTTGGCTTACTTGACAGCTTCTGTGCTTGAGATATCATTACTTAGTCGGCGGCCATTTGATATCATTACTTAGACGGCGGTCATTTGATATCATTACTTAGTCGGCGGTCATTTGATATCATTACTTAGTCGGCGGCCATTTGATATCATTACTTAGACGGCGGCCATTTGATATCATTACTTAGTCGGCGGCCATTTGAAATGGTCCATAGGTAGGCGGCCTTCCAAAGGTTAATTTTAACCTGGGATCCAATCGCCTTCTATGATTTCTATGCGATGAGGCCATCAATTGAATTAAAATGTCCCATTGAGAGTAGGATAGCTTGGCATGTACTTTTTCTGTCTTTTCCTTCATATTATCTTCATGATATTTTCCTTTTTCTTTTCTTCTCAAAACTGTTGATATGAATGTGTGTTGCCTGCACAAGATAGGTACACTACCTGTACTAGATGTTATGGGCACGAGATACATACACTGCCTGTACTAGATGTTATGGGCACGAGATACATACGCTGCCTGTACTAGATGTTATGGGCACGAGATACGTACGCTGCCTGTACTAGATGTTATGGGCATGAGATATGTACGCTGCCTGTACTAGATGTTATGGGCATGAGATATGTACGCTGCCTGTACTAGATGTTATGGGCATGAGATACGTACGCTGTGTGCCTGGCATCATGCATGTGTGACATCATGCACGTGTGTCATCACGTGTTCAAGTTACAGAGTTAGTAACACGTCTCTTGTGTTGCAGGGCGGGGCAGCAGCAGCCTCCCCAGCAGCCAGTGTACGCGATGCCGGCACCGGGGCAGCCCACCCCTCCTAGCAACCCCTTCAAGGCCGCCAGCGAAAACTCTTCGCTCAACTCGGCCCAGCAGCCCACCTACACACCAGGTCTGTAGTCCACACAGGTGTGTTGCTCGTCTGCATAGGTGTGTAGTTAGCCAACACACCAGGTCTGTAGCCGCCATAGGTGTGTTGTTCGACTACACGCCAGGCGAATAACTCATCTACACGCCCGCTGTGCAGCGCGCTCACACGTCCGGTTCTCGGCCTACCCACACCCCCGTTGCTCATCACTTCTGTGTATTTTTGTAGTGACTTCTGCCCAGTTTATTGTAGAGTTTAGTGGCGGCACTATGGCCAGGGTACAGTACCAGCAGGCGGGTGACGTGGCCAGGGTACAGTACCAGCAGGCGGGTGACGTGGTCAGGGTACAGTACCAGCAGGCGGGTGACGTGGTCAGGGTACAGTACCAGCAGGCGGGAGACGTGGTCAGGGCACAGTACCAGCAGGCGGGTGACGTGGTCAGGGTACTATAAGAGTACAAAACCGTCGAGACGTTGGTGACGTGCAGCCCCTGCCCCAGCGGGCCACTCTACGGGAGCTGAGGTGTATTAGTTCGCATGCTACGTGCGTCGTCATCTCTGCCATGTTTTAATGACATGTTAGTTATGGCCAATGTAGGTTACCCGTGACCAGCTCTCACCAGCATCTCGATCATTTGAGATGATGTTTCTCGGCAAGGAAGCTTTCTCTTTGTTTTATTGTCAAATCCTGGGTCTTGCATTTATTTCCCGAGAGGTCACGCTTATTATGTCTCGTTTCGACTTGCTCAGCTTTCTCCTTTAATCAATTCGTCTCCTACTCTTCTCCTTGAATAATTTGTCTTTCGAAACTTTATTTCTGTCCTTCCCCGTTTCTAAGTCCTGTGTTTCATTTATTTGAGCCTGTCATTGCAACTCATCATAATTGAGAAAAGAGCGTTCATACGAGCCACGTAGCTACACGTTGCGTGCCTCCGTAGCCTCAATAAAATTCTTCTTAGCTACTAACTCTCCTGTTTCTTGGTGCCCGCCCTTGAAACTTTCGTTGCATACTTTTCATTTTAATTTATTCTTCAATGAAATCTTACTAAGCATATCTCTTACCCTGAGCCGCAGAGTTATAAGTTAGATGGTTGCTGATTATTCTCTTGTATTTGCTTCCTACGAGAGCTGAGGCTCCTTGTATAAATTAAGATATTCTTCACACGGCCCCATCGGCCTGCACTGACTGGTTGTTAACCAAAATACTGGGCTTTCAAATAATCGTGGGGCTGGAGTCGTGTAGGTGCGACTCTGAATTACTGACTCGTTATATTACTGACTCATTATAAGAAAATGAGATCAATAAATGTTTGAATGAGACTATTACCAGATCGTGCAGGAGCTACACTGAATTACTGACTCATTATAAGAAAATGAGATCAATAAATGTTTGAATGAGACGATTACTTGATCGTGCAGGTGCGGGCTCGAATTACTGAACGGCCGCTCAGTCAAGCCGTAAGTGAAAGACTTACTTGTATCCTTCGTTTATTAATTTTACTACGAGTGTGATGTGATAGTCTGTTCTGCCAAAGTTGCGTTGATCCTCGAACTTGTTTACTATTCATTGTTCATTTTATTATTTACTTGTCACCGGCCTGAGCTGCTACTAGTTAACTGAACATTGTTAGTCTATTATTCTCTGATGTCAGGGGCGGACGCTTGCAACTCACGTCCAAGGCGATAAAGAATTAATTCCAGTCAACTTAGCTCATTTAATTCCGCCTTGTATGCCCTCTGTATACCCTTCAATCAAGTGCCGTTTTTATGGATACGTAACATTGCCCCTTCGCCGTTTCAACGGCAAGGGATTGAAATCATAAAGAAGCACACTTGAAATAGTTTATTATGCTCAAATTCCGACTAAAATCTCTTCAGAAGCGTTAAAAATACGAGACATTCCACTGTCTATTGCACAGCATGAAAGCATGGATGTCAGGAAAAGTTCTAATTCACATGGGCGAGGCGACAGCAGAAGACATTGGCTGTAGGTAGCATGACAAAAAAGGCAGCAAACGTAGGCTTTCAAAAATCACCGCCATCAGCTACTAGCTTGTTTGCCTTCGTAGCACTCAGCTGACTGCTCAGGGTCACGGTCAGCTAACAACTGCCGAACAAAAATATAGCGACTGTTGATCTTGGCTAGCTACGTCACGTCCAGCAGCCTACTGGTTCAGCTGTCGTGTGAATGACACGGATTACTTGATACGTGCTGTCTCGCACATTTTTGTGAACGATAAGAACATCTGATAGTATATTCCTACACGTGAATAGTTCGAAGCAAGTGAATTTGGGAACGACAGTTCTGTCGTTCACAACTTCATCAATTTAAATTTGCATTCTTTTGTTCATCAGTTGAAGGTTGCAATTGAATCGAAGAATTTGTGTCGATTGTTGGACCTCGGCTTCTGAATAAACTTTTAAAATATCTGCACTAACTTTTTTGATGGTATATTTTTTTCGAAGCATAGATTCGAGTGGAGACGAATGAGCCTGTTGCGACTTGCGTTATTTACCAGTCTCTTTAGTTTTATTTCTTATTGATGTGGCGCAATCGTGCAGCCTTGTAGTTGTTGATTGCGGTAGCGTGCAGCGTGTGAGAGTGACGGCATCTGGTGTCAGAAGTAGAAGCTGCAGCTCCATGTCATATGTAGTGCCATGCGACTGCACGTGACGAACTCCTCCAGGCCCTGTAGTGCCTTACGACTGCACGTGACGAACTCCTCCAGGTCCTGTAGTGCTTTACGACTGCACGTGACGAACTCCTCCAGGTCCTGTAGTGCCTTACGACTGCACGTGACGAACTTCTCCAGGTCCTGTAGTGCCTTACGACTGCACGTGACGAACTCCTCCAGGTCCTGTAGTGCCTTACGACTACACGTGACGAACTCCTCCAGGTCCTGTAGTGCCTTACGACTGCACGTGACGAACTCCTTCAGGCAACTTCATCTCCTGCGTAGGGAATGGCACCTCAAGTCTTGTCCGTCTTGGCCATTGTCTGCTCTTTGTACTCAAATTCCTCTTATTAATTTTCACCTGAAATTTAGTTTAGGCGTTTCCTGGCAGCCCAAAACTGATGTCAATAGTAAGTGCATAAATTTACTAAACGTTTCGTGTGAAGAAATTCTCTAATTATAAACCACTTTGGGGATTCTTCTATAAAATGAAATCAACACTTTTGGTAAAATTTAGGAATGTCTTGCACTGGATGGAAATATATTTTTGAACATGATTATCAAGGAAGCCAGGGACTCGAGTTCAACATTTTAACTTTGTAAGGATTTTTCCCTTAAGTAGATCTCCTAAGGTAGATGGTACATAATGACACGGGAATGATCCCTTCCTTCTTTACAAGAGGGTTAGCAGCTACCCGCATGGGCCAAGTAGTGATGATAGTGAGGAAGCCTGCCTGCTAGATTCTAGAGTAATTAGATTTCTAGCTAGATTCTAGAGTAATAGTCTGGCCGGTCGCTTCTGATTGCTTCAACTCTATTGTCTGCCCACATAAAATGCACCTTGATCTTTTCTAATTGTTGATTGGACTCTTGCTTCTAATGACGTTTTATTTCGGGCGCCGAACTTCGCCTCAAAAATAATGCACATTTTCTCGCTTGTACAGGAGATCACGAAGACAGTGATGCGCAGATACAAAGATTAAGGACAGATACGGTGCAGAAAAATGCCCTGCTGCTCCCGGTGTTGCCTAACCCTCCTAAGCGGCAATGGAATCAGGGGGCGGTACTGATTTTAACGTGAAAATTGGAAGACTTTAGCCTCAGTCTGCCCAATTACATGTCAATCGAGCAGCCCCATTAGTTTACGTTTTACCCTGATACCTCTTGTTGCACTTCTTCAATTAATAATGTAGCTCCTTGTAGCAACACGATACCGACGTAATTATCTGAAATTTGTGTGGTGCTGTGTGCGGCGGTCCTTGTCCGTGGGTGCTGGGATGCCATTGTAGGTCCCAGCTACTAATGTTACCTTCACTAACGTTGTTTTCTTACCGCCACTAATGCTGGTTATTGTTACAGGAGGCCTGTGAAGACTCGATGACCCGTACGCAGCCATGACGGACGCTCCGGTGGCCTCGGGATAGTTCATCACATTCACTCGTTTCCTTCCTACTTTAAGTCACCGTTTACGTCCCTTCAGTGCAGTCTCGTCTGAATAATTTTAGCAGGTCTCCAGCATTCCTGTTCTAGGAGCTCGTTCTCGCTGTCCGAGACTTTGCATTCATGTTCTCGAAGAACGTAGCGAAACCATCATTAAATATGTCGTGTTCTCATAGGAAAATCTTCCAAATCACATTGAAAAATTGTACATGTATTTAGTAAAGATCCCTAGAAGAATATATTATGAATATCGTTAGTTTTTCGTGATTTATTTCTTTAATTTCTGCACTTCATTCCGGAGTCTGCAGAAAATTTCAACTCTATGATATGTTTCTGTCTGACTCCATAGAATTGTTTTTTTCCTCCAAAAAAGCTCTCCGTCTTCCCGCTGACTGGTGATTATTCGCCATTTAAGGACTTGGTTGTTCACTGGTCTGCGAATGTTGGCGATTCTATCTAAAAAGCATCGCATATCGCAATAATGTCTTGTCCTAACTATAGGAAATATTGGTCTGAGCACTCACGTGCAGTTGGTTAAACCGCCGCTTGTGGCGCCAGAGTATCAGGCTACAGCGTTGGCGCCCGAGTATCGACGTCCGACTGCGGTGTTGGCGCCCGAGTGATGGGGTTTTTACCCTTTGTTTGGTTGCATAGTTTTACGTCAGCTGGTGTAGGCTTTGTTGTATCTATAAGTCGGACAAGGAATATATGCCAGGTGTGCGGAATTGTTTTGAAGTGCATCTCTGCTCTTCTTTGTCTGCTTGCTTTTATCATGTACTCACTGCCTCATTTATTATGAATTTGATTAGCAACGAAGAAATGTCCAAGCAGTTGCACATTATAGATCATGATCTTTGCAAGGCATGCGGCTGATGTTTGCTTGTGTTTGTATCGGTGATTGATTTAAGCTTGAGAGCCAAGGAGAAGTTTTGTGCATCGACATAGATTGGAATTGAAATTTTAACACGAAGTATACATATTTATTTATATTTTAAATCTTTTCTAAAAACTCCTGGTGTCTATATTGCAATTTTATTATCTGAAAATATATCGATTGTGGTAGATTAGTGTGCATGTACCCCAGACCTCCAGACAAAAAATTTTAAAGAATGAAGACATGAGAAATGTTATCCTCCCAACCCTAATTTTTCTAGAAACTGATAGATACTTATATCTGTTCAGGCACGAACAAGTTAATATTCAATTGATATCTAAGCTATTCTTCGTTGGAAACCTTTACTGTTAATTAAATAAGAACTAAAGCTCTAGACTTACTCCTCTTTGAAAGCTGAGCTTTGCTCTCCTATCTCTCCTCGCTTTTCTTTCTTTGCTACTCTTTCCATTTGCTCTTCTTTCTCTTTTTTTTCTCTTTCCTCCCTTTATCTCTTAGCTCTTCCTTCCCTGTATTTGCTCTTCTTTGCCCCACTGCATGATAATGTACATTGCACGTAACTTAATCTTATCTTGATATTATTGCGGTTATAGTTCGCATTGACGGTCGAAGCAGAAATGTGTGTTCCCACGAGCGCGCTTCTCAGCATTTCTTGAGCTCTGTAACACGCATGCTTCTCTTAATGTTCTCTGTGAGGTAATGTAAGTACGTCGTTGGTAAATTTCATTGTACATTGCTGGTAGTAATCCAATGTCTTATAGGCGTCGATTCCATCATACTTGTACTCATCTGGCGATGTAATAGTTTGGTACATTCCTAGTCATCAAGTTATAAATAAGTTAGTCCAGCTCACTGGCGTTACTAATTACGCAAGGCTGCATAATTGATTGTCCAGATTTTCGGCGTACCAACCAAGTTTAGTAATGCTAGATAATTGATTGAAGAACTGGAAACCGTATCAAAATCAATCGATTGTAGCTGACGTTGAATTAAGGTTTTGTTTTAAATTCAGTTGAATTGTTCCTTGCCCCCCGTCGCTGATGTCTGAAGCGTGCCGGTTCGTCACAACTCCACCGCTTGCGTGTGTGTTGCATTAGTGCGGTGCTGCGTCTCTTGTATAGACCTTGTATGATAGGTCTTTGCTCCCTTGTTTAGTGTGTGGTACGCTGCATATGTACGCTCCGTCTTACTCCGTCGTACTTACGTTTGCATGCTTACGGCTGTATTATGTATTGTTATAAGAGTTAACTTGACTGAGCATCCCGCTGTCTGGCTCGCTTTCTTCCGCCGTCGTATGAGATTTAATTAAACTCGTTAAAATGAACTTGGTAATGGTGTATTTCCGCTTGCAAACTCTTACTGATTATCGAAACTGAGCTCCTGACGTCACAAGTGTCATGGTGACGCCTAATTAAGCTCCTGACGTCACACGTGCCAGTGAGACACGCTTGACAGCGGTGAAGCCGTCCCATTTCTATTTAACTTCTTCAAGACTTTGCAGAACTTTGGTCTTCTGACTATTTTAATGCCTACCCCAGCTGTGGTGCCAGCAAAGCGTCTCAGCACATCCTATATAGAATGACAATGTTGTGAATATTGATCTCTGTTTCTTTTCTTCCTGGTGTCGACATTTTGAAGTGTAACTTCTCCGTTGTGCGAAGCACGAGTTTATATTGCAGCGAGCAGCGCCTGCATGGCGAGGCGAGTAACCTTGTTTGTGTGTGTCGAATAACCTTCTGTGGCAGCTGTAATTCACGTGCTGCTATATGTTTGTATGTGAGATGCATGTATTAATGAACTGTATTACTGTCTCCAAGCGTGTCGCATGTCTTACTTTTGACCGTGGGGGCGGCTTGCGGAAAAATATTTACCTTTGCTCGTTACTTGTTATAGGTTAGTGGCGTCCAGTGAACCTGTTCTTGTTACCAAATAATTTGTATCATCTATTCACAAGAGTGCTAGTGTCTCGAGCGTCTCTTCACTAGAATGCTAGTTGTTCGAGCGCTTTAGTCGCTAGTATCTCGCAAGCGTCCGTTAAATCGAGTAAAACTGTATTTGAACGCATTTTCGGAGTGCCAGCAACTACTGCCGGTCAATGGGAAAGTCACGGTTATTTATTAAATTTATTTCTCGTAAGGGCTATTTTTTGCTGCTTAGATGAGCCATCGTATTGCTGAATGTATTTCAAGGTTTACTAAGACACATTTGTCGTCGAAATGTCCAGCCTTAGATCTGCGTCGGTCGCAATCGGTGGGGTTTAGCAATAACTGTAATCCGTATGCTCTAGGCTGTATATGTTCTGCACTTCATGGAGCCAATGTTATCATTCGCCATTCGATAGAAGATGCCAATAAAGATGATCATAGCTAAATTTGTATATTGATTCTTTTGAGGACGGCAGTGCTTGTTGAGCCCTGAAGACGTTAAATATCAGCGATTACTCATAGCTCGCGACGAACACTTTACTGGACTGACATAAACGTGAGGCAATAGTCATGTTAGTTTATAAATAATGGAAAGATACTAAAGCTGCTGATTTACTGTAGGCAGGGACATGTCAGGTCGTTTATTTGATGTACATAATTGCCATTTTCTTGATCGTCCTGTGATTTTAGTTCTTAGTCGGAATTCGTAGGGGCCCATTAGTGTGCGTGCACTTGAACCGACCCCATTGTTAATGCTTTGTTGTCACGGGATCATGGTCAGGTGCGTTGTCACGGGGTCGTGGTCAGGTGCGTTGTCACGGGATCTTTGTCAATGTTGTCACGGGATCTTGGTCAATGTTGTCACGGGATCGTGGTCAGTTGCGTTGTAACAGGTAAGCTCGTTGTCACGGGGCCACACCCCCAAGGCAACGCTATTGAACATCTGTTATGCGCAGTGACGGCAAATGCTTGCAGTGAGAAGCACAAGCAAACTCCACGGCGACTGCTATGCATTGCTTCTGAGTATTGAATGCGGCAGTGTAATTATTTACACCATGTAAACGAGACCATCAAAAAATTATTAGGCCATGTATTATTTTAATATATGTACAGTTTGTTCCTTCGCTGATATTTAGTTTCTAAAATAATTTCATATCTCTGAGAAACGATGCCACCAGGAAAGGGGGATGTTGTTTGAAAAAACCTTAAAGGAACGGATACTTCCCAACCAACTTCATCTTTAGCAATGAACAATTACAAGATGATCAGCTATTGTATTGATTGATGGAATGTGATACATTGGCTGGGAGGCAGAATGTCTCGCATTCCTCTGCATTGGTAGCATCGAGTGTCGGTCCTCAACGCTCAGTTCATGTTTCCTGATGTGTATTTTACGTTCCTTGTAGGTATTTCAAGTAGCTTTATTTCCATCTGGCCTCTTAGGCGAGGCGCATATCCGTCTTAAATGGTTTCTTATAACCGCATTGTCTTGATTGGTGCATATCAAGCACTTCATTTGGGTATAAGACTCTATGTTAATTTCTACAATTTTTTTACCAACCCCAGTGTATTTTATTTACTCAACTGGAGGGGTTTGAAGCCGGTTTTCAAGCAAGGAGTTCCCAGTTCCATCCTAAGCGGTGTGGCTAACTTATCCTTGTTTCTCTAACAGCTGAAACTATAAGCATGTAATATGAGGTCGAATATTTAGCTCTAGGTAATCGTGAAGTGTAGATAATTTCGTGTTCTGGCAATGTAGTTCTATTCACTATCATAAATTATCTTGAGTCTGTGAAGGCATCGATGTTTTTAAATGACAGTAAATATTTCATTTCACTACCTTTTATTCTCAACACAGCAGCAATAAGGTTAATGTATTGTTTCACCTTAATAAATAACAGGAAAATTAAAAAAAAAATGTGTTATTTAGTTATAGTCGCTAATTGGTATATAAATTATTAGAATAGCTGGATCGTCAGGCGTGACTGGCCTGGATGTAGTGAGCTGGATCGTAGCCGAAGAGCTCGAAGTCAAGCGCATACTTCTCCAGCAAACCGTAAACCTGCACATAAAATTCTAATCTGAACAATGAAGTAAATCTAACAATAAAGCGAGAATTAGTGCTGTGCCGCACGAATCGACGTAATATGGTGGTGTGGTTGACCGTGTCAAACGAGACAGTGTAGAGACAGTACCGCAATGTCGCTGCGGTCTACTGCTCGCAGAATATCTGGAAGCATCTTTAGCACCACGATTCCCGTCGATTGGAGGCAAGAGATCGATTCGCTGAAGATGGTTATTTGGCTGTCGTGCCACAACGCGTTACAGAATTTTAGACAAAATAGACAGGTTGGAGATTGACCGATACGATTTGGGATCTGCACTGGCAAGTTCTGTTTTTTTTTTCCAAATATCTCGACCAGAAAGACGATATCGAATAAGTGCGAGCGATGGATGTAAAAAAAAATCAACCTTGTTATTCAACGCCCGTCTTTTGGGCCAGCTGCATTTTAACCGTCGAAACGACAGCTTAGAATGGTGATCAACGTGAACGCGAGCAGGCAATAAGGGACATGGTTTGGCATAGGCCGGTGTCCAGCAGCAGTACTTGTAGAGGTTGAGTTTAGTTCAGGTGACTGCCGCCGTGGCATGTGGCTACGGCCTGTTACAAGTGACAAGCTATGCACCGTTGTCGACCACTGCCCGATAGGCGGCGGCAGGACGCCTCCTTCGGCTCGCACGGATCCCTCGTTAAGACATGCGAGGGATCCGTAGGGGTTACGATAGTAAATCGTCTCTCTCGCAGACCGATTCACCTTAAGTTAACCTGTTTAGTTAGTTAGATTAGTGACCACATGTTTACTAGTGCTTCAGCTATTTAGCTATCTCGCACCGAAAGTCACGATGAACATCACCAAGAGGTAGAAGGTCTCAATTATCGAAAGATTCTCAAGTCAAAAACCTTTCATCACCCACAAGGGGCGGAAGGTGTCAAATATCCATCCCGCTGAAGCTGGCTCGAAAGAAGCAGCGTCAGCATCGCAAAGAGACGAAGTGACAAGGAGAGGCGGATGAGAAGCAACAGAAACTAAGGAACTCGAATAAGAGGTCGCTTACACGGGACGTCGGCCGCCCACACGAGAGAGACAGAGAAGGGGAATGTAAGGAATCCTACCTACATATTAACTTCACCCCACAACTGAGACCTGCAGTCAGACACCGCGCGAGGAGCGTGAAATCCCATAGGATTTCTGAGGAGCACAGACACGCGTCATAAGTCCCTCCTGAGGGATCGAGTTGACGAATCAAGTGTTGCAAAAACAGTAACGGACGTTTAAATCAAGATTTCACAGCCCGACATTCTGACGTTGAGACTTAAAAGAATATGCATAGTATATTCCTCTCGGTTAAAAATTTAACATTGACACACAGCGCAGCTTGCATCAGTCGGGTGTCGAATTTAGAACTAGGCATTAGTTGAGTAGTGAAAAATCCGGGATTGAACTGAGCCTATCAACGTATACCCAAATACAGCCACGTGCAAATTAAAATTGAGTTAGCCAGTCACTGAATGACAGGTGATGGAACTGTGATGGTCACCAACAACGGAAGTTGAGGCTTCAACATTTCCCGTTGAAGTTCCTCAAAGTATAATCCTCTTGGAAAAAATACACATGCTTATACCGACGCACGACATAGTTTGCAAAGAAAGGGTATCAAGTTTTCACACAGGCAAAAGTTACAGATTAACCTTGGGATCGAACTGAGCTCCGCAGCACACGTCCGCTTGCTGTCACAGCCGCCGCGGTTTGCAAAGAAAAAGTGAAGATCAATTCTAGTTCATCTTAGGTAAAGGTACACTTAGCAAAGGTAAATTAAAATGGTTGATACCATCTTGAGGAACACAGAGTAAATAAAAGATGGTATCAACCAGTTGTATCTGTGATTGACACAAAGGATTTGAATAAAGCATCAGTTGGTTTCTCTCCGTAGCGCAATTGCTTCCTAACTTGTTTCCCCGCTACACAATAAAATTTTTCACAACAATCAACATTCATAAGTATGCATTGCGTTCTGTTCTAGTACTCCCTTGCCTCAAGAAATGGATTAATTGCCCCCAGTGATTATGTTACCTTGAGTTTGAAAACCACCGAGTCATTGTCTTCGCTACCCCAATATCTTGCCTGCCGTCTGGTGAGCTGCGAGTAATAGGCCGTCGCCAGGTCCGATGTTTGTTTGCTGCCTGATGCGTGGATCCACTCGACGCTCAGTCGCTCCGCTAAGCCAAGCTCGTTGATCACGTACTGCGTGTCCTGAAGGCGAACAAATCACAAGCCGGGTCATCGGAATTCAAAACATCTCTAGGTACAAGTAGAGAGTTACGAGTTACGTTAGCGGTTAGTAAATACAAGAAACCAGTCATATCATTAAAACGCTCTGAGTGCAATTAGCGGCAGGCGCATTTCAATTGTACATCAATAAAATACAAAAGGCACATCATTGAATCGCCTCTAAGAACAAGTAGCGTCGTACGGGTTGCGTATAAAAGTTTTTACACGAGGCTAATTTTTGCAGCGATTTTTCACGCCCTGAGTTTCGCCGGCTAAAAGCTTATACACGAAGAAAGTATTTGATGAACAGTCCGCAAGTGCCAGACTGTCAGTGCCAGTGCGTCGCTGGAAGTCGTTGAGTTGGGTCTGTGCATGGTGGAATATGGAACGCAACGGTAATGATGAGTTTAAGGAGGCGTTTGACGAAGCAGTTAGTGGCATATCTCGGTGAGGAGGGTGAAAACTTTGTAGATCAGCGTAGAGTGTAAGTGAGAGACCTAATAAAGCCTTAGCTGAGTTTCAAAACACTACTTTTTCAATTAGTTTTTGTTTGAATATTCATTGTGACGTACATTCCACAGTAGATCGCAACTTTTTGAATATCTATAAGAACAGTTCAATATCATCTGAACACCTCTTGACATTATTACAACCTTCGTTGCTGGGACAAGACATAGTTCATAATATTAAAAAACACTTGCCTGAAGCAGGATACAGAGCCGCACAAACACACACTACGGCTGCAGCAATCCGAAGCGCTACTACCCATAACTACCGATACTAGACCGCAAATAACCAACCTGTGAACTGCAACTGCTACAGACGCAAACGCATCACCTACTCGCATCTGAAAAATATTTTATTCCATCATAATATTTGACGTACAAATACTAGCTGCGAATACTCGCAGCTAATACAAACCCCGTTTCTAAACTCCTTAAGTCAAAATTATTAGCTGTTAGTTACAGCTGACTCATATCAGTTCTAAACGTATCAAGTGCCTGTCCACTGTCGATGGACAATGGGTACCGGTACTAGGTACTCGGGCGAGAAGAGAAAATATGGAAATGCAACGCGTTCAGGGATAAGTTGTGACTATTGTAAAATGTACACTTTTTGATATGTGGGAGCGACGTCAGATTCAGACGGTCTTGGATTGAAGGGCAGATATTCATGAGCCGTCCATTATATTGCAGCGGTATGCACTAAACCGTGAAAACATTTTTTGGCGCTTGTGGGAAATATGCAAACTTTCGTAAAAACAAAGCACGTGTGTAAAAGATGACTCGTGCTCATCAATATTTTTCATAATTCTACTCGTCCTGTACTCACTACTCAAGTTGGTGACAATTATATAATTATTAATTTTTGGTTAGGAATTAGGGATCATGTTCAACTATTACACGCTGGAAGCAGAGCATAACCTACTTCACTGAACGTCTCCATCTTGGCGATGACATCGTAGTCCATGGCGCACGGAGAGCACATCAAGTAAATGGGCTTCCAGTGCTCGTCGAACTGAGACGCTGGCGTGCTCAGGAGGTAGCTAGCGAACTCTGGCCATGTTGGCTCTATTCTCTTCTGGTCCTCCAGGTTTGATGCATTCCGGTGGACACGGACGATGTCTCGACCATAGACCTTGTGGTAGTATCCGTTCCTGGAAAATTTAAAACCAAATCACAAATGATGAATTCAATTTTAATTACAATGAAATGTGAGATACGAGAAACAATGTGAAAAGATTCTGAACTTTGCAGGTAAGCTAATTCAAAATAGTGTTTATAATATTTTTCCACGGCCAAAATTCAACAGAAGCTATTTTAGACAAGAAAATCTGAGAAATTCAGAAACATTTAAAAGAATGACATGCTGCGGTATTTAGAAAATATATGCATTGATACATGCAGAGAAGATCCAGCTCATAGTTCTCAAATTTACCCTGTAAGCTGACAAAGTGCGGTCGAATATACCTTATTTTAGCAAGTATAATCACCTATAAAGAAGATCCCGCTCATAGTTCTCAAGTTTATCCCTGTAAGCTGACAAAATGCGGTCGAATGGATGTCGAACGACGAGGAGCTTCAAACTGCGCTTGTACTTGCTCTGCTGTCGGCTGCTGGGACTGACAAACCATAGTAGATATCAGTAGAGTATGAAGAAAAGGGAACGAATGGCTATCGAACATAGACATCAAACACTAATAATAATAATAATTGTGCGGTAATCGTTCATAAATCAATGAATTATGAGGAAAACCTTCAAATGGTGCTGAAAGTTGTTCTAAAAACGAATGGCGATACATTCGGAACTTCGTTACACATTAAAATGTCTTTCGGAATTGTGGTATTGAAATGTCTCTGTGGTGCAATCGAACTTGCAGTTAGTGAATACCGGTAATTCTGCAACCCTGCTATTAATATAATTGTTAATTCCGTAGGGTTGGAATTTAAGGTTGAATGGTTCGTAAGTTTATTGTCACAAACGAGGAGGAAGGCGCCGAGGTAAAGACTGACGTAATCTGACTTACGTCCTGCTATAGTAAACAATAGTAACGCGTAGCTACTGGTTCTACATGAAAATATACAAATGTAATTACACAAATTGCACAATAGTTTTAAAATGCCATTTCCCTCCATGATAGTTGGCAGATTATTATATATTGTCATCACATGAATTGAAGCAATGACCCACCGGGGATAAAAGTCTCTTAAAATTTTGTGAAGTCCCACGTCAGTTTTGAGATTTTCTTCTGACACTCCCGCAAGTTTTAGTAGATTGTACACCCAGGTTGATGACCCGCTTTTGGGCACCTTGCAGTACAGCAGACCTTCGACCCTAGCGAAGTACATGAACTCCCAGTGCACTCTGGAATTAATCACGTGAGATGAAGAACTGCCAAAAAAATTGTCTGTGAATATTTCAATCCTTTGTCGTCTACTATCTTGTACGGGAGGACTAAAGATATGAAACGAACGGAAGACGGTTAATTTATTTGGAGACAAAAGGTTAGCCATACCCTGTGTCTACTGACGGTAGCATTAGTAACTAAACCTTCAGCTACGAATAGCATTTATGACAAGTAATCAATGCAAACGAAGACTAAGAGTTTACTCTGTCAATTGAAAGTAATTCAAGTAAGCAAGCCTCCAGCTACGAATAGCATTGATGACGGTTGACGTGCCCGTGGACAAAGTGTTACAAAGTTCACCGTCTGAGGGCGAGCCTGTCGTTCGCCGTGAGCAGCGCGGAGCCGTGCGGTTGCCGGCGCTGGTTCACGCCGAGGTCGCTGCATACACCTCTGGCCAGGGCAGCTCGCTCTCGGTACCCAGCTTGCAACACGTCTTCATTCTGACATAAAATCGTTTGAGAATAAAGATTGAAATGATATCGAAATGACTAAACTGGACTTGATGCTTGCATTTTTGTTCGGTATGAGACGAAAGTGAACGAAGCCAAATTAGCGGAAATACGCTAGTGTTGAATGCGCAGTCGATGAGCAGGGTGCGTAACTGTGCTGGTATAAATTAATCAATCCAGTGGCATGACATGATTATAGGTCCATGATTTTCGAAGAAATTTTCCCTAGTGGGAAGATTAGTCTAGAATTGTCTGGACTGTAGTGCTGCATGTATGAACTAATGAAGCACATAATTGTAAAGTTCAATATAGCAAGTAGCTTTCATAAGTTCCTCTTTAAAGGAATGAGAAAACAATAATTGGGTGTGATACCAAAAACCCTAAACGAAAAATTTCGTGAAGACTTACAAGAGAGAATAAATTGTATCACTGTACCGAATGTGAAAAATGTGTGATCAAATGGTGCCAAAATTATGGAAGTAAAAGGAATTTGGAAATATCGAACCGCTATATGACATGATCACCTGTACGACCCACTCTCTGAGGCTTAGTTGCTCATTTCCTTCTTCATCTGTTCGGCCGTAAATAAAAATGGCCGCGGCGTAGAGAGCGACTGACAAAATAAGGAAACTTGTCCTCCGTGACGGCTTCCATTGGCGAGGCCACCATCGAGGCACCTCACTTCCTGAGGAAAAGTGCAAACTAAAGCTTCAGCGGGAAATAATTTGGTGATATCGGTTAAAATAACTACTTTTTGGTTTCTTGGCTGGGAGTAAAACTTATAGTTATCGCAATATCTCTTTCACACGAAGTTCCCATTTGGAAGTAAAAATTATGTATGGTTTCAATTAATAATTAAATCGCTTCAACTTCAATGCTCAACAGTACCCAGAAGTAAAATTGAACACAGATGATCGAACAAGAAAATAACATATTATTCAATCATAAATAGTTAAGAACCTGAATATATCGGGTTCTTAACTTAAAGATCGGGTTCCAAAGGCCGGATCCCTTGTGAATCAAGTCACGAAAAATTCAAGAATCGGCAACAGGCCATGGGCCTATTTCTTCAGTGCCACTTCTATTCTATTCTATTATGAAATAGAATAGTAAGACAAAGTGTATTATTCAATCATAAGTAGTTAAGAACCTGAATGAAATATGAGATAGAATCATCTTACAACAACCTGCTAAAGTGAGCGCCGACGCTCGTGCCTCAACCGCAGAGTTCTGATCGCGCCCGGTGCCTCGCAGTCCCGCAGGCTGGCCGCCCTCCGACGTGTGGCCGCTGCTCGTGGCGAGGCTGAGCTGCAATTTGGAGTCGTCCGTAGCGTCGCATGATCTCTCTTTTAAAGAGAAAACGCGGGTGGTCGTTGGAAGATTATATTTTTGTGATTTAATTAACTCTTCAAAGTGCCGGGGACAATAATTGGGGCTAGATTCTTTCATTTTATTTCCGGGTGTTGGGAATAAGTCAAGAAGCAAGTGAAAGGCTTCAGGGCATTATCACTGGCATAAAACGCATTCAGGCTAAATTCTCCCGTATAAAAGAAATGTTGGTTATTTTAATAGATCAGTAAAATCTTTTTACGCGATTTTACTGCCAAATAATGATGAATCGAACGAGTTCTATCTAATCACATCCATTTGAACGATTTCCGCACTCACAAACTTCTAGAAAAATTAAAGAACCATCACTGACATTTTCATTATCAATTATTATTTGATAACCACATCATTTCACGGTAGAGATACTACCATGCGAAGGACCGTTCGTTGAGGTGGTACGGCAGAACTGAACACGACAGCGCTGCACGGCCGAATGCAGACGCTAGCCCGCCAGATTATCTGAGGTCAAGTAACGGGACTGCTGGTGTGAAGTGCTGCGCACCACATCAGTGTGGTGTGAAGTGCTGCGCACCACATCAGTGAGGTGTGAAGTGCTGCGAACCACATCAGTGTGGTGTGAAGTGCTGCGCACCACATCAATGTGGTGTGTTGCACACACTTCAGTGTGTTTACACGCTTCATTGCCCCGAGTTTGACCGGAACTCGAAGTTTTTCACAAGAAAATTAAAATTCGACACGTGTATAATTGTTTCATTATTTAAAAAAAATAGCAGTATATCTTATTGCTCTTGGCATACTAAATGAAGAAGGGGTTTGGCCAGAAATAGTAATACATAATGCTTATGTCGAAATCGTCTTATTATCAAAGAACCATGCCATTCTCACCAGTCATGCTGGTGTGGAAAGCTGAAAACGCTGATGTGGCGAATGAATGATCAATTTAATGCTGCGGCAGAAGCGAATTAGGCAAATGATTTGAAATTCTGCTTGGAGCCTACCCAACGTCTCCTATATGACAATGTGCGAAATTTTCTCATAATATCACATCATATATTGAACATTATGATTGTGGAATTCAAAATGTTGACATTTTTACATATGGATAAAGCGGTAGAGCTGAATAATTTGAAAGCGACATGATCTATGATCTCGATGCGCTAAACTTTCTGCACGTGTCTCAAATGACGTGCACTATTGAATTCTGTCGTTTGTTCAGCGCTTATATATAGGAACAGCCTCTGCCTTATGACTGAATTCAGGTTTTCTCTGCTACTCAAATATCATGCGCCGCTCACGCTGAAGAACCTCCCACTTCTGGCTTAAAAGAGATTCGCATTAAGGTTGATTCGTTACGGATTCCTGCCAATTACGCAATCCAGCGCAACAAAGTGACCCAATTAGTCGCCAGTCTCGCTCAATTATTTACATTTGTTTCTGCACGCGTTTCATGTGAGCTGAAAAGAAATAACTGAACTCGGACCAAACTAAAAATCCTAATAAAAAATCGCTTAATTTTTCGGGCATGAAATTATTAGTATCGAATGGTTACTTTCTCACGCGCTGATTCGCTTTGTTTTAAGCAGCTTCTGGAATTTCGCACCAGCGATGGGAGGTGACAGAAGACTCGATTTAAAATTTTGGTCGCCACTCTTAAATACCCTAATTGCATGTTGGTTGTGTGGGGGTGGCCCAGTCGTTACAGTTCAGCAGAGTACTAGGTTAGGAGCAATGAGCTATGGGTTCGATCCTAACTTCCTGTTGCAGATCTGGTTAAAATCGGCGATGACGCCGAGTGGTTAAGCACAGCAAAATTGGAGCAGTGAGTTGCGTGTTCGAGAGCCGCAACAAGCTTTGAATGTTCTGCGACGTTCAGAATCTGCGACAGGTCTAACGGCCTAATAAACGCTGACACAGCTACACTACTAATCCATTAGGTAATAATTTTGCAGCCAGATATTGAAAATTAGAAAAATTTTAAACGTGGCTGATAGTATTCTCTGATAGTATTCTTCAAAGATATATACACTTTGGATTCCCGGTTAACTTATAGTGTTGTATGTTAATATTAATTAAAACTTTACAACAGAAGTCGGCCACAGGCAAACGCGTTCTGAGACTGGACTGTGAATCTCTAGTCCTACGGCCTCTATATTTCTGTTAATTGATCATAATTCACTCATTCGCAATAAGTTAGATATTACTAGTATTATGCTTCTATTTTTCCTCTAATTTTACCTCCCTGAATTTATGGGCACTTCCCTTCGTGGACAAAATGACAGGGCTTGAATATACCCCTGGCTAGTCCAGTTTAACTTCAGGATGTAGCATTTATTTTCTTAACTGAACGTGTTTATGGAAGCGATTCGCTTCGACCAGCTTGGTAGTGCTATTCTTTTATATGGTAGTTTATTTGAACATCCTCAGTTGTTCACCGTATCACTTGATTTTTACTTATAGCTTTTTTATTTCATTTGAAGTTGACACTTGGTTTGTAATCGACTAATCGATCTCTTATGTTTGAATTATATAAAAAATTCGTTAGTCTGAAGCTGCCTGAATCATTTCTGTGTCCTATCACAGTCGCGTCACGTGGATATCCATTGGCTGGTGACATTTGATCTCTGTTTGAGTTGCCATGCGGCTGCTGCTCCAATGAATGCATCGTTCAAATGCCTTCTGCGGTGTCCTGAGCTGAGACTTTATCACTCTATCTTCTCAGGTTATGTGAGGAAGGACTGAAATTATGTCTCAAGCAGTCAAGCTTCAATAAAGAAGACAATTTCAATTTTTTTTCTCCAAAATATTGTACCTGTGATACTCGGTGAATGTTTTCCGAAAAAATATCATTTATTTCATCCCATTGAAGTTGAATCATCAAGGACAAGAGTAGTCACGATTTTTGAAAATTATCAGCGCATACGGTATTGACGATTGTAAGAAATTTGATTGTCTTATTTTGCAATGTTTTCATTTCAATCGTTGTTTCCAAAACATGAAAGATTTCCATTCATTCTTGAAACCTTCTTTATTCTTTGTGAACATAAAACTCATGATAAAAGTTGAATATGTGAACTCGTATTATCGTATAGATGGAGCCTGGAGAGATATTCACAGTCTTTCCGAGTTTGTCGAGAAAGAACCAAAAACTTGCTGATTTTTCTGTAGTTGCGGAGTAATGAGTTCTAAAGTTCATGTATTTATATAAGGGCGCACAAATTAAATTATTCTCAAGAGAGAGTCAGTGCTCAGTTAAAAGCAAGTTGTGGACGATGATGGCTGCAAGTTTCTTTGCTCTGTGCCTGCCTTGGGCAATTTACAAATATATATCGTATTTATAGTTAGATATTCAACATCGTTAGTATAGATAGGTCATAGGTGTGGTGAGAACTGAGAAAACTTCGAAGCCGGAAGCTCCTAGTGCTTGTGGGGTTGTTGTGGCTTGTCTCGAGGCTGCCATTGCCAATGAGGCAGTGCACCGATCATAATTCATGATCATCGATCTCTGACTCAGACGGGAACGCCGGCTCTTCTGCTTTGACGAGCCTGCTTCCGTGACATCAACAGTTTCGACTGTCGAGAACTCCTCATACGTCATAAGTTCATAACTTCATAATCAAGTTAGCAACTAAGGCATTCACACTTCACAAGCTGACAGCCTGACCCATATAGGCCTAGACTATCATTGCCAGTTGCTGATGGCCTCTAGTTGAAATTTATGCAACTATTTGTATATTTTTAGTTTTGCAATATTTTGATTATTATATAGTTCAGGTTCAGGAGGAGTTCAGAATTTTGAACATACTTTTACTGAAGAAGAACAAACAAGATATTTTTTAATCTTCTTTAATTTCTGAGTTTAATGAGTACTGAGTAGGTACCTAGTCTGGCTAGTCACTAGTCAGTTGAGTAGACCAGTGAAGTGTCATGGAAACCATTCATACCACTATTATCAAATAGAAATCATAATGAAATCTGAAGTTTAGTTGAAAATTAAATATGAACTGGTTTCTAGAACTCTCCTATTTCCCACTGTGCACTCTGACTCAAGTTGTCTCCATCAGGGCATGCTCTCAGCTCTCCAAACTGGCTGCCAGCTCAGCTCTCATGTTCTCAGCTCTCCAAACTGGCTGCCAGCTCAGCTCTCATGCTCTCAGCTCTCCAATTTTTAAAACTTGACCTACTTTTGATAAATGATGTAGATGTACTACAATTGGTAAGATCAAGAAAAAGTTACCACGCTTAAGATGTGGACTCTTAGGACATTATGATTAAGGACAGTAGGACTGACTGAATGAACAGTGAACACAATGTGAGAGTCTGAGACTGAGAGGTATGTTGATTTGAGTGTCAGCAGGGTGCGAAGCACCAAAGTCGGAACAGTGCAGTTATGAATATTGAATGGTAGAAGCAAGACTAAATGATTAGTCTTAGAGCTCCAAGTAAATAGTTAAGGTACCACTGTACTGGGTCTTCTATAATGTTCTATTTACTATCAAATTCCACAATGTTGGCCAGAACTATGGTGTTAATGACAATGACATTAGGGATGCTCTGTTTTTGTAAAGAGCAGTCCATGGATTACACATCAAGTTCTAACCCTAAATTAGCATTTGAGTATCATTAACATTAAGCTTCACTTGTTTTGCATTAATCCAGTATTGTTAATTGTTACAGTATTGAACCATGTAAACATTGTCCTTATATAAAATTAATTACATCTAAGGTTGAAATGGCAGACATACTTTAGTCAATTAAACCAGCCACAGCAATTAGGAATCCCACTGCCAAAGTCTGAGGCTTCATGCTGCACTTGCAGTGATGCATCTGACATTCTTGATGTTTAGGCCCTCCTCAGTTGGTGAAGAAGGGCTTTCACTAAGTTGTTACATATCCTTGAAAATTTCTGCTAACTCTCCTTTGTTTCTCATTTCAGACATGAATTCCGTAGATATTGTTATCTGATCAAAATCAAACTTGGCCTCTTATTATTAAATTTACCGCACTACGTATAGTATTCTGTAAAGCAAATCTCAATACTCAAAATTCCAAAACATTGAATTAATTAATATGTTTGCTAAAAATTTTTCATCACTTAAAAGCTCAATAACATCTTTTGATTTAAAATTCACTAGTTTATTTAATCAAAGACAAGTTGATAAGCTTCAAAAATGTCATGAACAATCCTGTTGTAATTTTAGCCTAAGCCAGAGACATCTTCAAACCTCAGAGGAGCTCATTATGGAAGAATATGGAGAACCTCAGCTCGTCGTTAAGAAAAGATCTGTGGAACTGCCTTCTCTCAAGCCTGGAGAGGTATGGTAATAATGTGATGAGTTGATCCTTTACAAAATTTGATCCATTATTTTACTTATGATTCACCATATCACTTAACTTTTTTGTTTAATTGTATTTGTGTGCTAATTTGAATACATATTTTTGTCACTGAATGCCCTTAAAACAGAATAAATAGAATAAAAAAGTTTCTCTTTAGCTAACTGTGTAATCTATCATTTATACATATATTATACTGCAGATTCTTGTCCGTGTGTTGGCGAGCCCCATCAACCCATCAGACATCAACACCATCCAGGGCATGTATGCTGTCAAGCCTGACCTGCCTTGCATTCTGGGCAATGAAGCTGTTGCTGAAGTCATTCAAGTTGAATCTCCTTCTGGGTGATTGTCATTGTATAATGATAATATATTTGTATATTACTTTTCATATCACTACCATTTTCAATCATTTGGATTATAGAACAATTCATGATGTTCCATTAGTAGTGACGGTTAATGCTTCATTGCAGTTCTCTTGAAGTTGGGAACTGGGTCATCCCAAGCTACAATGCTTGGGGAACATGGAGAAGTCATGCCATTGCTGAGTCTTCAGATTTTATAAAGGTAAGAAAATATGATTATGTATAGCTACAAAACATTTTCCAATATTGTTTTGTATAGCTACAAAACAATATTGGGAAATATAGAAGAGTTTGTTGTTCTGACTATTGAAGCTTGTTATTATGCTCAGAATTTGCCTTAAGCAAAGCCTCAATATCTTGTTTTTTTGCATGCAATGCTTGATATCAAGTTTAGACAAATAATAATGTGAATTTTATTTACTGGCAACTGGCTGTTGAATGATGTTTTTATGATTTCAGCTACCATCAGGAATGGATCGCGCTGCTGCTGCTACACTCGCAGTTAATCCTACAACAGCCTACAGGATGCTCAGAGACTTTGTTGACCTCAAGCCTGGTGACACGATCATCCAAAATGCTGCCAACTCAGCTGTTGGTCGCAATGTTATCCAAGTAGGGCTCGTTATTTATGAAGATTTACAGAAATTAGTCACAAAATAAGGTTTTTTAAGCCATATTTTTACAAATGGGGAATAAGATCACAATTTTGATCTTCCTTTTAAGTGATTGTCTGGCAAACTTAAGTTTGGCACTTGGTACGAGTATTTTGGCAATATGTGGTAAATTTTTATTGATTCTTTCACACATTCCAATTGATACCAACAAATATAAATATTCAACATTTCTGGGAGGCAACTGTAAATATCTGCTTTTCTGAAGAACTTGGTTACATTATAAGTTCTGTTTCTCTGTTTGATGTCTTCATGTAATCTTTTCACAAGACTATGGCGTAACATGCCAATAATGTATAAGAAAGAATTCTTCTTTTGTTGAAAGTTGTGCTCCCACTATGGCTACAAGTCCATCAACGTTGTCAGAGACCGGCCAACAATTGCTGAACTGAAGAAAGAGCTCACAGACTTGGGCGCGGACGTTGTGGTGACGGAGCGGGAGTTGAGGTGATGATCATCTGGGGGCAATACTTTAAAAAAAGTTGATAGATCGTAAGTTCATCAGCCAATCATTGACGGCCTTTCAAGCAAAATCCACCAATCATAGACAAAAAAATAGAGCGTAAGTACTTATGTTCACTTAGTGAGTTTTGAAAGTATGGCCCCTGACTGATAGTAATATTCACATAAATCGGTGACTGATATTCACAGATTTACCAACTGTCCATATTGATATTCACATATTTACATTATGCATTCTAAAGTGTCTGTAATTGAGCAACCGTAGATACAGTACATGTCATTTTGGTTTCAATTACTACTAATTTACTTCTGAAGAGAAATTATGTCACACAATTTATTCTACAGAATTTTAGGACCTGCATTTACATTGCATTGGAATATTAGTGTCACAGGGCAACGCGATATCATTAATGCTCATCAATATCATTTTTGCTCATCGCGTGAAATTTACCTCAAAATAATGATGGCAGCAATATTATATACCTTTACCTTGCTTGTAATAGCGTGCATCCAGGATTTTTTAGAGAATTTATGAAGAGAACTAAGTAGTAAAATGAAAGAAAACATTAAATAGAAATAATTAGTCTGTTATTGTAGAATTTTGAAAGGTAGATATTCTGGTAAAGAAGGTAAAAAAATCTGTATGGTAAGGCTTCTTCTGAAAGGATTCTGGAAGATAAAATTATTGTAAATACCAGAGGTTACTTAATTTGTTTTAATTAAATTCTCTGTCTTATTTTATTTGATTGACTTGTAAAGCTATTCGTATCAGGAGAAATTTTGCTGATTGTGCCTGGCATTTTACCCTCACAGGAGTAAAACGTTTTTATGTCTCTGGACCAACTGCCTCACGCTATGGGTCTGACTTTTCAAAACATCATTTATAGTGGTACTAATATGTACAGAAAGCATAGAAATTATTATCATTAAAGAGCTGACAAAAATATTTGCCTTCCTCTTTCTCAGTATTGTTTCACTGCAAACTTCATCGTCATTACTACTTTGCCTGCTTTAAATACATTAGTAACATTATATTAATGTCAATAAGATCCTGTTTGCATATGTACCGAAAGACACCGCCCGCCAATTATTCCTCAACTTATTGTCCCTCAGAACTGACCGCAAGATCCGACAAATGGACAAGCCAGCGCTTGCCCTGAACTGCGTGTCTGGCAAGAGCGCCACGGAACTGTTGCGCCACGTGCAGGATGGCGGGGTGCTGGTCACCTACGGGGGTATGGCGAGACAGGTACTCATGCCTTGACTGCATCTTCGGTGCACCCTATTATGGCATAGGTAGCTGCATCGTATACCGCCTACCAGAGAAATGATGACAGGCTAAAGAAAGACTTTCAAACAATGATTTTGTATAAAACTCTCATTTGAACTCTTTTAATTGCTTTGATGTGCAAGATGAGACGATTTGTAATGATCCTCCTCTTATTTCAGCTCAAGATTTTAGGATAAAAATAGAGGTTACGGTATCCTATGCTTGTATGCAGGATGCTGGAATAGTGTGAAGTATTGGGTTGGAGGAAAGCTTTCAGTAACATCGCAATGAGCTTGAGAGAATTTCTTGATTGGTGCTGTTCGCGCTGGTGTTAGTATTTATCGGGCAAAATTTACTATTATTTTAGTTTTATTTAGTACCTCCTCAATGGGCAATGTAGCCCAGACTGATCGTGATATATGCTATAAAATGAAACTTTGTGCTTTAGAATGGCCAGGAAAATCTAGAAAATAGCTCATTAGGAGTTGATATTATTTTACTTTACATTTTCAGTAGACATAAACGGCACAAAGCCACATGAGCGGAAAAATCAGTAAGACACATAAAGAGGTATTGTGTGATTTTTCGTCAACAAATAAATTTTTTAGCTGATATTTCACGATGCGTTTGCGTTCAGCCTGTGACGGTGCCCGTGGGTAGCCTGATCTTCAACGACGTGCGGCTGAGAGGATATTGGCAGACGCGGTGGAATCTCAACCCAGACAACCAGAGCGCCAGACAGGAGATGCTCAACGACCTGTGCGAGCTTTTCAAGCAGGGCAAGGTGAGCTGGTGGGAGTGTTTGCTCTCTGGCGCTATGTATTCTTATAATCAGAGCATCGCATATCATTTTATGATATTTTCCTAGGAGAGAGGCGGTGAGTCGCGTTAAGCGACTATTGTGTTTTTTACCAAATCAGAATCACTGTTACATTTTGTAATTTGTCATGAGACTTGTGATTACGTGTGTTTTGCTTCATATTTTGATAGTTTTCTTTCCTGAATCTTGGTTTGATTAATATAACTTTAATTATCTATTACCTTCACTATTTACTCTCACTCTTAAGCAATAGTTATTATTTGAAGATAACTGGTAGTTCTAGTGTCTCTCTGGGTATTTTTTTTTTGCAACCTTTGTCTCTCGGGTGTCACTGTCGCGATGATCTTCCTTGTCAAATCATCCGTAAAAATCGGTAAAATTCTTGGACTTACTCTGTACAGAAAATCCAAGGTCGTGCAAGAACTTACATGGTAATTTTACTTGGTTACTTTATTCATGTAAATGAGTCCATGGAATGATGCTTATTTGCGTGCAGAGTAAATTTTTTTTTTTTGTAAAACGGAAATTTGTTTAGGAAATTTGATTTTATTTTTTTTTCAATTCTTTGACTTGTGTATGTATAAATCTTTACCAAATATTCATTTCATTCATGGTTCCTAATTCATGCGGAATTTCTGACATTCGACCATCTCAGCTGACTCCCCCGCCGTACAAGTTCGTCCACTTCAGCGACTACCAGACGGCCCTCAAGGACGCCATGCCGGCGGAGGGACAGGTGGGCGCCAAGCAAATTCTGGTCTTCGACTAGCGCCTCACTTGGCGTCCTCGCATCAACCCTTCGTTCAGGGTTACATGAACGGTCGCCAGCGCTGTACTACATGAACGCCCTGCAACTTGAGTTCCCGTTGGTAGACGCAGGGTTAACCTTTGTCTACTGACGTTTGGATCAACCTTTTGTCTACTGACGGTTGGATTAATGACGGTAGAATTAACCTTTGTCTAAAGGAATAAATATGTAATATTTTGATAGTTTTTTGTTTTGGTAGAAAAAGTTGAGCATCTTGGTTACACATAGTTTTAACTATAAAATTATTCGATTATTAGTTATATGTTTGCTAGGAAAAGTCGTGGTGGATTTTGCATGGTCAAGCAACCTATTTTTCTCTCAGACTCTGTTTCTGTTGTTCTTCACACAATTCGTCTCTGTTTCTGTTGTTCTTCAACTAATTCGTCTCTGTTTCTGTTGTTCTTCACCCAATTCGGCTCTGTTTCTGTTGTTCTTCACATAAATCATCTCGTTTCTGTTGTTCGTCACCTAATTCGTCTCTGGTCCTATTGTTCTTCACATAAATCTTCTCTGTTTCTGTTGTTCTTAACATAATTCGTGTCTGTTTCTGTTGTTCTTCGACTAATTCGTCTCTGTTTCTGTTGTTCTTAACATAATTCGTCTCTGTTTCTGTTGATATTCACATAAATCTTCTCTATTTCTGTTATTCTTCACATAATTCGTCTCTGTTTCTGTTGTTCTTCGCATAATTCGTCTTTGTTTCTGTTCTTCCTATAATTCGTCTCTGTTTCTGTTGCTCTTCACATAATTTGTCTCTGTTTCTGTTCTTCACCTAATTCGTCTCTGTTTCTGTTGTTCTTCACATAAATCTTCTCTGTTTCTGTTGTTCTTAACATAATTCGTATCTGTTTCTCTTGTTCTTCGCATAATTTGTCGCTGTTTCTGTTGTTCTTCAACTAATTCGTCTCTGTTTCTGTTGTTCTTCATCTAAGTCGTCTCTGTTTCTGTTGTTCTTAACATAATTCGTGTCTGTTTCTGTTGTTCTTTGCATAATTCGTCTCTGTTTCTGTTGTTCTTTTGTTGTTCTTCACCTAATTCGCCTCTGGTTCTGTTGGCGTTCGCATAAATCGTTTGTCTTCGCCTAAATGTCAGGTAATTAATTTTCAACTGACATTTCTTTAGTATTTGTTGCTGAATTTTTTGTTTGGTTTGGACGCTGACTTGACTTTTTTCCAACTAGGCAGCTAAGAGCGTGATGGCTAAAAAATTTGTCGATTTGTTGTTAACATTTCCAACATTTTGCTCACTTTTGCTCTGTGCAATTCTCTTTGTTACTTGATGCTCTGATAGCGTATTTGTTAATTAGTCGCTGCTAATATCTTGCAGTATGCCATGATAAACTGTTAATAATTTGACGGTATAATTCATATGGTAGTTGTACTATTAGATAGTTTGTACTCAAAATTAATGAAAATTTCAAATTCATTTGAGGTAAAGTACCTTATATACACTAGTTACTGTTATTTTCCATTGCAAGTACGGCATTTTGTGTGTTTTGTTAGAGTTTTCAGCTGCGTTTTTATTTAACAGTTTATTTGTTTCAACCTGTTTTTGTGATTTGCAGAGAATTTATTTAATGAATAATGTGCCACTCGATCTTTGTTTTGATATCCAAAATTAATCTTACAACAATTCCACTCAGCTTAGCCTTAGAGAAATAAAATTAGACTCGGCTGCAGTCTGGCAGTATAACAACTAGACTGCTGAACTCTGGTAGTAATACAATTAGACTCTGCTGTAGACTGGCAGGATAATGATTAGGCTCTGCTGCAGTCTGGTAGTAATACGATTAGACTCTGCTGCAGTCTGGCAGTAATTCTACACGGGCAAACCAACTCTCCGGATATCGATCTCCTCGATTTGCTTGCTCAGTTATTATAACGTATGAAGACTACCATTGCGCCTCCTATGTAGAGTACATGAAACTTATAAAAAGTAAACATGAGCAGATAAACCTATCTATTTACAATTTCGAGGGGATGGGAACTGTTAGCGGCGTTTAAAAATTACTTTTTAAAGATAACACTTCTGAAGAATCCAGTGTCTTCGATGTGACACATGTACATTGAATTTATACTTTTATTTTCTAATGTTAGAAAAAATTATTTTCAAACTTTTTTAATATATCAAAATTTCGTAAATTTTCAAAATTATTTATTCTGTCAACTGATTCATGCAGTGTTTCTAACTTTACGCAAGTGTGCAAAATTTCAGATCGATTGGACAGGTAGAAGTGTGTCAAATTTCGATAATAATAGATTGTTCCTGAGCGCCCTACCGCTGAGCTCGCGGTGTCTGACTGCAGGTCTCAGTTGTGTGGTTAAGTTATTATGTAGGTAGGATTCCTTACATTTCCCTTCTCTGTCTCTCTCGTGCGGGCGGCCGACGTCCCGTGTAAGCGACCTCTTGTTCGAGTGTCTTCGTTTCTGTTACTTTTCACCTGTCCCTCCTTGTCACTTCTTCTCTTTGAGATGCTAACGCTGCTTCTTTCGAGCCAGCTTCAGCGGGCTGGACATCTGAGACCTTCGACCCCTTGTGGGTGATGACCTATTTTTGATTTGAGAAACTTTTGATAATTGAGACCTTCCACCTCTTTGGTGATGTTCAACATTATTTTCGGTGCGAGATAGCTAAATAGCTGAAGCGCTAGTAAACATGTGGCTACTAAACTAAACCAACTCGATAATAAGATTAGTAGCTGACAAAATTATTTTTTTTAATATTGCAAAAAAATTTTTAATTATTTAAAATCATTCATTCTGTCAATTGATTCATGCATTGTCTCCAATTTTATGCAAGTGTGCCAAATCTCAGATTGATTGGACAGGTAGAAGTGTGCTAAATATCGATTATAAGATTTGTAGCAGACAGATAGACAAACAACAAGAAGTGGATTTAAAGAGAAGTGTTGTAAAAACTGACCTTGAACGCGATCGTGTCCATTTGCAGATGTGAATCAATTAACACGTGAATGTGAATCAACAATCAACACATTGACGTATTTTCTGGTGAAAATTGAATTTTTCTAATGTTTTTACGTCGACTTAATTACATCTTTTCAATTGAAANAAGCTTAAGTATTGAAGAAAGGTTCATGGGATACACTCGATAGAAGTTACAGGATCAAGCACAGTATGTGCAGTAGATTGGGAGATAGAGTTAACGACACTACATATTGGTCTGAGTGCCGGAGTCTGCATGACTGCAGCTGAAGGCTGTCTGCCTAAGACTGAGACTCTGCTGGGACTGACTAACGGTGCGCTTTCTCAGCTTATATACGCGGTGACCCACGAGTAGTGACGTCACAGAAGGTGACGTAATAGTCAGTAATGACATCACAACCCTTTCTCAGCTTATATACGCGGTGACCCACGAGTAGTGACGTCACAGAAGGTGACGTAATAGTCAGTAATGACATCACAACCTGACATAGTCAATTTTGTATCCCACCTGTGGCTCCACCTTGGCGATGCTGCTTGGAACCATCCAATATGCTGGAACTCCTGAAACACAGAAAACAGCAACTCATCCAATTCAAAATGGCTACACTATGTTAATTAAGTCATGAGACCATATTTGTAACTTGACGAAGCTGCAACTGGAATTTTTTCTTTCTTTGGTAACACTTGCACATTGTATTGTATCCAGTCTATCCAGGCCAGGCCACACTCACACGGTTAATTATTCGCTATACACATACGATTAATTATTCGCCACAGGCAAGCGATCACTTATTCGCCATGCTTGAGCGATCACCTATTCGCCACATGCACATGATTAATTATTCGCCATACACATGCTATCAATTATACGCCACGTGCGAGTGATAAGTTGCTGGTTAGAATAATATTTATTGTTCAATATAAAGAGCAAGCGCAACTGTTTTTTGATAGAAGTGTATGTAAATTCAGCTGGAGTGCCCAAATTGATATTGATAGCTGTCGATGGAAGTTATATCAACGGTTATATTGAATAATGAATCTTTTTCATCGTGCACCTTTCGTTGTAAACGGAATAAAATTGTGTGGAGTTCAACCATTCCTTCCATTCCTAGTTCAACCAAGCTTACCTATGTTTGAAATATATACAAGTTCAACCATGAGCTCACATATGGTTGAGCTCAGATAAATATATAATAGTTCAACCATGAGCTCACCATTCCTAGTTCACCATGAGCTTTACGGCCAATATTATGCGGAATGCGGATGGGAGCGTCTCCTCGCACGTGGCCGTGGGTATGGAAGTTAGACAGTCTCGAGTGAAATGCTTGTTGAGCTTGTGTTTACACTCGTTTAGAGTAAAAAGTAGTTGAAAAACGTGCGTTTTTTGAGTGAATTTCTATTTCAATCGTTTCAAAGATGTCCAAACGTTCCAGTCGTCGTAGGGATGAGTAAGTGGCTCCTCATTAAATTCAATGCCTTCTACTTCTAGCCTATTCGTCAAACTCAAACATCACCTACCTACCCAATTTTAAATTCTGTTCTGATGTGATGTGCACTGTTGATTGTGCACTGATTGGAAATTTCATACTCAAGTATACGTAGCTACTGCAATTTCCGGACTCAAAAGTGACTAATTTTTGGTAACTTTGAAATCTTGCTGCTTGATCATGCACTTTAGTTAACAATTTGGCAGGATGGAATTCTAATATTGACAGTTCATATATTATTCCCGATACACCTACACCAGTTTTTCGATACAACATTATTTGAGGCAAAAAAATGAACTTATAGGCTTGAAACACGTATGGGTATGCTAAGTTTCTATAAGGTAATTCACTTGGAAATGTTGCGTGCCAGCAAGGCTGCAGGCAGGCCATGGTGGCAAAGCAGAGAATTTTTTAGACTCTCCCTCAAGTTCATTTTTGAGTCCTAGAAGTTGACCAATAAAGTATCCTGGATACCAGCATCATCATACATAAGAAATTGGTTAAAATCTTGGGTAAATGAGAAAATTAAAAATGAACTGATTCTAGAAAATCTCAGGTTTGTCACTATGGCAGGCGCAGCTTTCACTCAACAATTAAAATTATACAAAGTATTAGGGTAAAAAAAATTAGGGTAAAATTAGGGTATTCCAACATCGTGGGTACTGGGTAATTCCGTCACGTTCATGGGCTAGAGCTGCTAAAGTGAATACGATGAGGGCCCAAAATGCCATTTCTTCAGAGTACTTTGTTTTCACTTTAGCTCGCACAGACAAAAAAGGGCGTTAGAGCGCTACGTCATACATGACGTAACTCGTACACGACCTGTGATTGGCTGGAGCTTGTTGGCAGGCTGCCCCAAGCAATGTGGGTGATGTGGGGGGCTTTTTTTTACTCCTATTTTAATTACCATAAATGGTAACTTACCCGCGAAAGGGTTAAAAGCTTAATAGTTGTTAATTAAAAGCGTAATTAAGTAGTGTTCAATATTCATTAGTGTTCTAATTCAAAGCCGTGTTGTATTCCAATACAGCTCACTGGTGTCTGACACCGTCTTGTCTAATGTCAACAGTCAACACAATGTTGCCATACGCCATGAAAGATTAGCAGTTTATCCCATCATTCCGTGTGGATTCGAGAACTTTGTTGATATTGGTGAAATCGTGAGAATTTTCTGCAAAAGTTTACGTAATTTTTATTTTTATTTTGGAACATATTCATTACAAAATTTGTCGATACGGATACACGACTAGTGTATGTATTGGAGGGAAGAGTCGCCGACTCTTTATCGGTTTTCGAACCACAGGCAAGCAAGTTGAAGGAAGTGCAGCTGTCCGGGTGTCCGCAGTTTCTGACGAGCTCAGTGTAAGAGTATCAATTGTCACTTCGGTGGAAGGTGTAAGGTGGTAAATTTTTCAATACATTTTCTTTTGTTAACATGATAATATATTACCTATACAGAATTCCATACTGGATATGACCTATTTCAAAAAGAAGAAACACGAGGACAATTTTCAGTTAATTTAAGAGAAATATTAAAATAGGCCTAAGACCTTAATTTTATTAATTTAGTCTGACTTAATTCCTGTCTACAAGGAGGAATTCAGTACCTGGTAGTTTATGAAGGTTATGAAGAAGTCAGAGGTGCATGTGTAGCAGTGTAGCCTTGTAGGTAATGATAAACCTATAAATTGAAAACTATATTAGGGTAAACGCGGTATATTCCAACACTTTAAGGACATAGCAACAAATGAATGGCTATATAAAATACACTGTATGCGCACAGTGGCAAACCAGTGATTTTTAGAATCAGTTCATTTTTAATTTCCTCATTGCTCAAGATTTTAACAGCTTTCTTATGTACGATAATTCTTGTATCCAAGATACTTTACTGGTCTACCTACTTATAGGACTCAAAAATGAACTCAAGGAAGAGTCTAAAAAACTCTCTGCTTTGCCACAATGTGTATGCGCAACTTGAATTCTGTTTGCTTTATGTCACTCTTAAAACACTGCACTACGCGCCAGCAACAATGAAACGTCACAAAATGTTGCCATATTTATTTAAAAGCCTTTAGAATGCAAACCTATCAAATCCATATATTCTGACACTGTGTGTGAGTCAGTGTGACTAAATTCGGCATTTTGTAAGACTAATTCCGACGGCACTTCAAACTCTACTAATTTGTAATGCCGACACTCTTGGTGAGTCTTGTGTTCAAATTCCGATTGCTGTGTCAGCTGTATTGGAATATGACACAGCTTAGAATTAGAACACTATTGAATATTGAACACTACTTAATTAGGCTTTTAATTAAGCGCTATTAAGCTTTTAATTAAGAAAATTTTAATTTTTGACCACACAGCTTGGAACAAGCTGTGTGTGTCTAATTCCAAGCTATGTCAGAATTAGTTTTTATGTGTCTAAAACTGTCTCTTAACTTAATCATCTATTACTTTTTTTACCACTTTAAATCAGCGAATACAAGTATACTTAAAGGATTCCTAATATATTCACAGACGTATTCAAAAGTCTCAAACCATAATATTCTTTCTACACAAATAGTTTATCACTATTTGGTAGAGCAAGGTCAACTATCAACTTTGACTAGTTTTTCGATGTTCTCACTGGGTGACGCGCACTGTCTCTCTTTGGATCTCAACATTTTCCCGCCAGACGGCCCAGACCTAGTGTTTTGGCAATAGTATGGCGTGCAAAAGTATGACGTCACTATTTCAACCATGAAAGAATGCGTGGAACTAAGAAGAAGCTTAATATAAAGGAAAAAAGTCAAGACGTGTTGGAATTACCCACGATGTTGGAATATACCGCGTTTACCCTATAGTTAGCCTAGGTAACTGATATTTTGGAAGGCTGTCACCATGGTGGAATTCAATAAAATTGATGCCAGACAGCCCAACTGGAAATTTTAGGCAATGAAGGGATGTACCATAATTCACACTTCTCACGGATTTACACAGGAAAGCAGTTGCACGGCTTTTGTAAGAGATCTTGAACCTTCTCACTAGATAACTATGTTTTCACAATTCAATATTTAAATGAATAACATCTCAATTTAGTCTAAAAAAATTACTCCTTTTGTTGCCTTTGTTATAAAGCAGAAAAGAAATTGAAATTGAAATGCGTGGTGACCTCCAGTCACAACCTTTATATTGGTCATATATGCTGCCTAAAAACTTTTGTTTCATTTTGTTTTGCATTTGCAACATTCTAAAAAAATAAAACAACGTACTAAAACAATTTGGCACAGTCACATGTCTTCCCACCCTCCCTTCACTAAACCCCACTAAAGGCCCCACTCATATCATCCTCCTCCTCTCCCTCATCTTCCACACGTTTTCCAAATATCTCTTCACACTTTCAAACATAACCACACTTGCTCCCTCAGACAGGCCCATAATTATTGCCATCCACTTTTTGCTTGTTCTCTCATGCCCCACTTCGTTAATCTCACCTTTCTCATTCAGAATCACCTCCATCATAGACTGACTCTCTCTCTCATACGCCCCACATTCCATCAACAAGTGCTCCGCAGGTTCCTTCTCATCCCCATCACACATCAAACATTTATCCTTCCTGCTCTCATTCCACTTGTACGTACGTCCATTTACACCTAGCGCGCCTGCCCTACTAACACAAAACAGAAGGTCCCCACCTCTACTACCATCATACATACATTCATATTTTGGCATTGCTTTCATCTTATACAGTCTTAGAGTGTCCTTTCCCTCCATTCCTTGCTTCCACACCTTCAGCCCACAGTCTTTCACTCACTTATTCATTTCTCTTTTCCACTCTTTTTCATCCCACTATCCCAATACCAGCATTATCATACATAAGAAATTGATTTTAATCTTGAGTAGGTGAGGAAATTAAAAGATAACTGATTCTAAAAAATCCGTGGTTTGTCACTATGAACTGTCAAATGCGCAATAAATGAAAATAATCATGGTGGCATTCTAAATACCTTCTTAATGACCATTTTGCAATTTAGGAGCATGCCACCGAAATTGGGTGCAAGCCGTGAAAAAGGAGCAGACATCCTGCCAACTATACTAGGGCACCTTAGCACCAAAATCACTGTCATTTACTCCATATGTACCAGTCTTCTACTTGCTTTGAATTGCTTAACTTGCAAAATGCAAGTTTAAGTTAACTTTCAAAATGCAAGTTAACTTTTTAATGCTTAACTTAAAAAAGCTTATTAATTAGAATCTCCCTTAATAGAATATTGCTATGGTGAATATGAATATTAAATATCAGTGGTGGCATTATTGATGGCTTTATTCACATTTTGCAATCAATCATGGATGCCAATTTAAGGTTAAGAAGGCTGATGGAGAGCTTCAGAAGATGCTGATATCTCAATCTAAAAGGCCTTACTTTACAGCCAGGATTATGGATGGTCATATACTGGAGTGGAATTTCCTACTTGTTTCTGAACTCTCATAGCTCTAACAGGACGAATTTTTTAATACAATTGTAATCTTGCAGCCCAATCATGCACTTTTTTTTAACAATTAAGTAGGAGGTAATTCATCTAGCAGGAATCTTGCAACAGCTCTATTATAAAAGCTCTATTTGCAACACATATGGTAGACATGTTCCATCTTAGGTGTGCAGTTAGCAAATGAATTTGCTGTTCAAAAATAGCTTTCCATGGCTTTGAAAGAGGATTGACAGCTTGAAAAGTCAACTCAGAACCAAAACATTGTGATGATGAGGAGGTATGCTTTTAATTATTATTAAGGTGATGAGGAGGCACTGTGTCATAAGTGGCCAATATTTCTGGCGAGTGTTTGGTTGTAACCCTCAAAGTGGTTAGTATGGGGGAGTGTCACATCATTAGCACATCAGTAATAATATGGCATTTTTTTGAGACATCATATAAAATGTAATGTTAACATTTTGAATTTCAAATTCAAAGTGTTAACATTTTGAATTTGATTAAACCTAGAAGATATCTTGTAAATTGTTGGTTTTAAAATATTGTCTCTAAAAAGAAACCAAAGGAAGAACATATGTCATTGATAACAAAAGGTCCTCTACAAAAACCACAATGGTAATAGGCAATAGGTCAAACACAGTGTTAAGGGAGCTTCTGGGTCCAAAATAGATATTTTTTGGCATTTCCTGTTTTTATGCTCATCTTAAAGCTGACATTCTGACCTATCCAACAGTACCAAAATCATCTCTGTACATTGATTTATGCATTCACGACAGATCTCGAAAGAGTTACCTTTTTGTAGAGTTCTTCATAAAACCCTACTACAAATCTTAACGGAACCTGCACATATAAGCCTGGTCTGATGGCCTTCAGCTTAGTTACCTCCAAACTGTCATGCGGCAAGGTGTTCATGCAGTCATTCTCTACATGGCTGACTTGCTTCTAAGTGAAAGAATATGTTACTTTGCTATCATAGCTATGGGAAATGGTTATATTTAATGCCGTGCGACCGGCCGGCCATTTGTCGACTTTTCTGGACATTCCTGAACATCGCACTTCCTCTCACTGCAAACCTATCTCCTTCTATAGTTTTGAAGCCACAGAATTAAGACATATATCATTTGCTTTGCAAATAAAAGATCTCAAGATTGGTCTTGGCTTTTTCTTCAATTTTGTTATAGCTCGGAAAATATTTTGCAGAAAGTGGGGGGGGGGGCAGGGGGTGAATAAAAAAATTTATGATATATGCCCCCCACCCACAAAAATTAGAATTCTGAAAAAAGCTAAGACAAATCAATAGATATGGTCTTTATGCATCAAATCAATGTTGTAGCTTGAAAATCCTAGGAAAAGATAGTTTTCTATGGTACCCCCTTTTTGGCCGTTTTCTAATAATTTCGTGTTTTCTTTCATTTTTTTCGAAAAATTAACACTGAAAATTAAATTTCTTTTTTACATATTTGTACCAAGTTTTTAAGTGATCCATCTGTAAATAAAGAAGTTTTTCCTGGGACCCAGGTGCTCACCTTAATAGTTAATGCCCCAAAAATTGCTATAGGAATTAAATAATGTAAAGCAGTGGTTCCCAAACTTTTTCAGGCTGGCACCCCCTTTGCCCCCCTAGTGAATTTCTAGCGCCTCCCACAGACATACGCCACTTTCTTGAAATTTAGTACGCTGAAATTTTGAAAGATAAAGGTTAAACACAAATGTGTATTTCACAAATAGAACCCCATTTAGTGAACCAATATGTTTTTCAGCTGTTTTAACTGTTTCAGCACTAGAAGCCAATGACGTCGCGGATGAATTTATGGCCGGACTCGTGGCCGGTCTCACGACCAATCTCAAATTCAATTATCAAGAAAATATCTCCCAAACAAATGAACGCAGCTCTATGAAACTTGGAACACGCATTCATCCGAACCTAACGGTGATATTTAGCTTGTAATTTCTTTAAATTTCATCTTCATTCGTGAGTTGCACGTATATTACAAAACAGGCCAAAATTCGCATTGATCAAAGAATTTCTTCTTATCGCCCCCCTACTGCCCTGTTCTTCCTTATCGCCCCCCAATATCTTTCCACCGCCCCTAGGGGGGCGATATCGCCCACTTTGGGAACCACTGATGTAAAGCTATCTGATAATTTAATAAATTTATGAGAGGAAGGTTGTAAATTAAGCCAACACATCAGAATGCATCTCACCACCACCACAGAGTCATGGCAATTTAGCAAGTGACTGAGGATAGCAAAATTCTACAACAGTTTCCACATATTTTCATTGGCAGCACCTTGAAATGTGTTCTCAGATTGCCCTACTTTGCTCTACAAAATGTCAGTTATTAAATTTGTTTAGCTGCTTTGCTGTGCAAAGGAAACATAAATTGAGAAAAGACTTCCACACACTTGAATACCTATTACTTAAAATATCATCAAAAAATTGTGATTGAAGTACATTAAAATAAAATTATTCTTTTCACTCCACCATGCAGTATCAATTGATATATTGTGATTGAATCTGCAATTGCATATGGATGACGAGTAAAAGTCAATTAGCATGATGGTCAATTTGAAAGTTTGTCAACATGAGAGTAAATAAATTTCTCATTGACATGCTTGCAACTGATGAATTTAATGCCCATGAAGTAACAACCTGAAATCCCAGCTTAAAAAATTGTTTCTGATAGTTCATACAAGCTAGCAAAAATGATAAAAGTAACAGCTCAAGTTTATATTATATAAAGTATTTCAGGTTTATATTAGAGATTAAATTGTAATTCAAATTATCTAACCTAATGGAAAACCTTTTGAGCATACTTCATATTACTTGATTGCATGTGAATATGCATGAACAACTTGTCATTGTTTGTTCTCCAATTTATAAAGATACTCCTCTTTTTCAGAGAACTTGCCTCGCTCCTGTTCTCAAGTGGCTCTACTATTGATATCAGCAAACTAGGAGCTGGGAAACGCAAGAGGAATGACCTCAGTAATCAAAAGACAATTGATGAATCTTATACTGCATCCGATGTCCATGCTTCTGATTTGGAGCAAGAGCCTAAAGAATGTGAAGTGGAAGAGGATCAAGAAAGTCAGTCTACTGATGGAAGTGATGAGGAAGAGAACCAAGAAGCACCTTCTCAGAAGAGGAAAGCAGCTTGGGTTGATGCTGATGATGTCACCACCAAGTGAGATACTTTTTTGCCAATATTTATGTGTGCATTTTTATAGGGATAATTTTTGTACACTAAATCTCCAATCAACTCTCTTACAAGCAGTAGAAAGCATTTTTATGCATTTTCAATTTGACATTGTTTAGGACTTGAAATTAATTAAATGGGTTTTAAAGTAAAAAAAGTATAAAAGTAAAGTATAAATGAAGTGAGATTAGGCTCAGATCTTTTTAATTAAATTTGTAACTACTGAAGAAGAAAAACTCGTTTCTACTTTATGCAGCATTGCAGACGCCATTCTTGCGCGAACAGAAAAGATCAAGTTTGAGCAAGCTGTGGCTGTGCGTTCCGTTCAAGACAAAAACTACCAAGAGTTTCTAAAGGATAAATTCACGGCCGTGGTGGGCGAGGCACCAGCGTGGGCAGACCTGGATGCTGCACAAGCCAGAAATGAAGAAGAAGATGATGATGATGAAGATGCCCTTCAGGTAATAATCATGAAATATAATATTCACTTCTTAGAATTGTATGATTGATTGTAATATCTATTGATGCAAATTTATTTATTTGGGGTTTCATGTTTGGTTATTCTGATCCTTCTATGAAATCTGTATTTGGCATCAAATTTTGACTTTGGATCTTTCAGTTGGGCTGCAATATGATTTCATCTGCTGGTGGTGCCCTTCCCTCAAACTACCTAAACTACAGATGGTTATCAGATTTAAATGAAGAAGAAAATGTAAAAGTGAGAAATGGTTACCTCGGTAACAGCCTCAGAGCAGTTTTTGCTGCAAATCATCCCCTTGCTCTGGTCACAAGAAGACAGTATGTCCTACATGGAGATGGATTTGCTCAAATCTATCAAGTGAGTAGATAAGCATCAAATTCAGGCTCTACTTCTGGTTATAGCTTTGCTTATATGCGATTCCTGAAAACTTTCACTGTCTTTTACTACATGCTTGAAAAATCTGCTGAGAAAAGTTGTTAATGCATCATGTTGTCTAAGCTTATTTCTCACTATGAGACTTTGCTCTTCCCATTCAGGTCGGGCCCGAACACTGCCACAAACTTGACGAATTTGTATTCAACAAATTTCCTATTTGTTCCTCGGCATTCTTGCCATGTAGCAAAAAATTCATCATAGGCGCTAAACAAGCGAGACACTTTTATGTTTACGATATGGAAGCTGGCAAGGAAATTAAAGTCCCGTGGACGTCCGGCGACAGGCAACGTAAGAACACGCGTAACATGGAGGTTAGTTATGTCTTGATTTATCTTTATTTTATTTATTTGGAGGTTAGCAATGTCATAATTTACCTCTATTTTATTTATTCAGCTTCTGTTCTGTTTCTCTTTTAGTTGTCTGAGTTGTCTGAGATATGGATAGGTCCAATTTAAATAAGTCTAATTCAAAAAACTCTCTTCTTGGCACGCTACGGTACTGTCCGGTTGAGATTTTTTATTGGTAAATTTTTTTTAAACTGGGCATTTATTCTCGTTTCTTTTTTTCACTCTTTTCTTGGAAGCTTTGAAGTATATAGTGCCCAGGACTAATACCGTAGCATTTTTATGACAGGCATTTTTAAAGGAAAATCTTACTTTTATTCGTTAAATACTAAAACAAATATAAATTTGTTCAACAATATTGTTATGGAGAGGCGATGCTTTTTATTAAGTATGAAATACATATATATATATATGTCATGTATCAATGAACTGTCGAAGTTGTTCTATTTGAATTTTCTAATGAAAGTATTAACGTTAGGTGTGTGCTTCATACATGTGTCGAATAACCATTAATTATTTTCGCAGCACGTGGTGGTTGTGAACGATAATGAGGTGATAGTGCAAGACAGAGACGAGCTCACCATCTTGGATACGCGACTCTGGCGTCCCGTAGACTGCCTGCGCCCGCCCTCCAGGATCGGGGCCTTCTGCGTGTCTGCCATGGGCGACACCGTCTACTCGTTTGGCCGTGCGTTCTGCTCATTTGGGTCTTAAGAGCAAATATCTAATATTTGATGCCAAACTTATTCTTTTTTAATAATATACATATACATGTATTATATTTTGGCACACAAAAATTTTATTTGCTGTATTTACTGTTTATTTTATGACGATACATTTAACTTGATTAACAACTTTCTTATCGCTGTAGTCTATTGTGCGAATTTGACATTTGGTAGCGTTTGAGAGTTCTAAGATGTGGTTTCAAACTGATATTTCATTCTGTTCGACGTTTGTAATGCGCATTATTCAATGGATATTTTTTTATCACTCAAGCAAGGGTAAATCTAAGGCCATGACATTACAGACGATGACGGCGAAGTGACCGTCTGGGACCACTCGAGTCGCCGCGCCCGTGCACAGTTCACAGACGAAGGCTGCATCAACGGCACCGCCATCGACGTGTCCCCCAACAGCTCGTACCTGGCGTGCGGCTCCAACACTGGAGTGGTGAACCTCTACAGCGCCAGGGACGTCGAGATGAGCCACACCCCGCGTCCTCTCAAGGTTCTGTCGCAGCTCGTGACTAGCGTCAACTGCGTCAAGTTCAACAGTTCGTCAGAAGCTCTTGTCTTCTCTTCTATGGAGTTGCCGAATGCCGTCAGAATCGTGAGTACAAAAATTCAACTGGCAATATTAAATGAATTTATAAATAATATTTCTTGTAATGCATATTTTGGTTCACACCGTCGAGAATATGAAGTCATTGGCTGTCATATATTTGGATATCATACATTTAATTCATATTTCATTGCCTTTTGTATCAAGAATCGTTCGTAATAACGGTCGTCGCATGCAATTAGGATATATAATCACTTGAATGAATTTGCCTGCTTAAAAATGAGTAAAGCAATTTAACAATAATATTTAACCATGAGTCACCTGCTGAATATTCCTGCGATTAATAATTTGCCATGAGCATTGAACGAACGATCGTTCGATTATTTTGTAACGCCTTGATGACTTCCATGAACGATCAGAGCGGTGGGCTGGTTCTTGTACAAATAATAACAAGTTGGAAACTTTCCCGAGCAGATTGAATTAATCGACAACATTTAATGTATGTAGATCAGCAGTGCTTAGCTCTCACTTATTCTATAATTCTTATTGCTCATCACTAACGAATGAGTCTTCAGTGCCCGAATTATTTGATGAAAGCCAGTGAATATCATTCAGTAGTGTTGGTGCGCTCTCGACGACCTGAGGTTAATGAATTGCTTTTGAATGTGTGATGTGGCTGCGTTGCAGGCGCACCTGCCGAGCTACCACGTGTTCAGCAACTTCCCGCGCCTCGACCACAAGCTCGACAACGTCTTGTCCTGCTGCTTCACTCCCGGCAGCGGCTACCTCGCCCTCTGCTCCTCGGGGCGGCGCGTTCACAGATTACGCCTCCAGTACTACAATAAATACTAATTTTTACAAACATGTTATCTGTAATGTAGCACAGGTATAAAAAAATGTCAATATAGATGAGACTTAACTATTGAGTTTTATTATCACTTTCAATAATGGTCAAATTTAAATTCTGAGAACGGTTCCTCTGGGTAATCACGGTTGGTAATCACGCATCAGATCGTGGCATTGAAGACATTGTAGTCATGTGCCCTGTGTTAAAAGTTTACCAAAATCGTCACAGTTCACCAAAATCGTCAATATTCAATACTCATTGAAGACATTTTCAGTAATATATGGAAGCAGAACAAAATTAATGTCGACATTAAAATAGATGCCAATGACTATGATATTATGGTCGCAATTGTGACGTCATGCCATTTAGCTAACAGAAAACGTATTAGGAACGGAACGCCGCTGTAGGAGTACAGACAAATCGCGAACGAAATTATTTTGGAGCAGAATTATACATTTAATCCATTGATATATTATTAGGAAAATATGTCATAATATTCCAACAAAATTATCAATCGTTTCGGATACCAGCAAAAATACACATACCCTGTTTTGCGTTTTTTATGTGTAATTGGAAACTCATTTACGCAATAACACAAGGTGGAAGCGGTGCGGCGGTGGAGTGTTACGCAACATTCTCCTAGAATACTTCATAGATTGAAAGTCAACGGTAACTTGTGTGATAAGCCAGCAAATTTCAGCGAGGTAGCTGATAGTTCAATTGATCAGTCAACTGAAATTTCATCATCTCGTGTGATGCGAGGGATTCATCGTTGAACTATAAATCCCTCTTTTCGGTAGCTGTTTCTTCCTCGTTAGTTGTGTGTCCTCTACTGGGGCTCGTCCTTTTCTTTATGAAAGTTATTGGTCGCGGCGTCGGTGCTAACGACTGAACAATAAATTTCAAACGCTGAAAAAGTAACATCAATTATTATTTATAAAACATGTTCAAAAAATTAAAAAATTATTTAAGTGTGTTTAAAAGTAACATCAATTATTATTTATAGAACATTTTAGCGACTCATTATTGGCAATTTTACACCTCGCTATATACACTCGCAGCAGAATATTTGACAGCAATTCTGGGAAGGGAGCCCATCCAGCGGCGATCCAGGCGGAGGGGCGTCTGCCGTTTGGCCTGTCCCACGGGTATGCCGGGCGCACCCGGCTGACGCGCAGGCCAGGGTACCTCCACGACGAAGACGCGGCAGAGATCGGGGACGACATACGATATCTGCCATACGACGACATACGATCATTTCTGTCTTGTGCCTCAGCTTCAGCTCTGTGGAGAGAAGCTAGAGATTATTATCAACTTGATTAGGAATTACTATACTTGGGTTACATAATTAAAAAAAGCAGGAATTGTCAAGCGTGAGGTAACCTGCTACTATTCAAATATAAGGTTAGGGCTACAACGGACATAAGAGAAGTTGTTGTAGGTGGGCTCGGCGTCTGAGTCCATACGTGCACGAGGCATACGTGCACGAGGCTTACGTGCCTTGCGAGGACGACGCCACTGCATTGCACCTCACGGCTTCTGTCACCACCATCAAGTTTCAAGTCAGCATATAAATATTCAATTAATTAATATTTAATTAGTAACTTAATTTCCCTGATCATCTTATGTGGGCAAGGCACTGCCGCGGCGCCGCCACTATCGAGTTCCGAGTCACTGGTCCATTTTTCCCGGAGATGAACCATAAAACAATCATTATTATTATTATTCTACGAAGCATTTATTGTGGCGTCCTATTCAAATGAAATTCGAGGGCACATCACACATAAGAATAATAGCAAACGAAAAATATATAAACACACGAAAGGTTGGGAATGGATAAAATGACCAAGCACTAGATTCATAAGCTCTACCCTCTACGAAATAGTTCCGTCTTTAGGCGTGCCGAGTGGTTAAAGTTCAGAGTACCAAGATTGAAGCAGAGAGGCGCGGGTTCGATCCCAGCTCTGTGCGCCAGTTTCTGGTCAGAATCGGCAAGGAGGCCAGGCGGTTAAGCACAGTAGAATTGTAGCAGTGAGTTGCGAGTTCGAGACCGAAAAATGCTGTGAATGTTCTGCGATGTTAAGAATCGGCGACAGGACATAGGCCTAATAAATGCTGAAACCGCTATTATTATTATTATAATAGGCGTCGACGAAACACCTGCAACGAAGGAGCCGAAGTTACGGAAGCCGGCAGACTGTTCCAAGTTCTGGCGGCGGCGACCAGGAACGCTCTGTCGCTGACGGCAGATAAACGTGTAAACAATTTTAACAAAGACCCCTGAATTCACCGTCATTGCTAGGGACGCATTCCAACAAAAAGGAAAAATAAAGCCATCTGCATCCCTGCATTACTCAGTCAGGTGATCGAATAGGTCTATTCATTAGCCAAAGTGAGAACAAAATTTTCTTGAGAATCTTCATTGGCAAATACTAACACTGAACTGTGATTTAGGACTAATAAACAAAAAGAATAAATATCTAACCAAGAGTCGACTTGAACCTAAATATTGTATAGTGCACAGAAGCACCAAGATCTAATTATTAAAAATGACTCAAATATTAAACAAATTTCACGCGCACAACAAAAAAACCTAACATCCACCGTTTCCACAGTTCCTATTTACACGAGCTACAACTTACACATCGGCGGCAACCACAAGACTAATAGTAATAGCTTCCGCAATTTGGCCAAGGTCACGTCAAACTCCCTCTAATACAAAAATTAAAAATGTACAACCTGTCATATCATCATCAAATCTCGTCAGATAATGGAAGAAATATTAGTGTATCAAACAAAAGTTAACGCAATGGAAATTATTTCTTCAAGTGTGTCATGAATTAGGCGCTATAATGACAGCAAAATGATAGCATCACGTGCAACCTTTCAAAGTGCATTTTTCCTTATTTATATTTATCAATTAAGTTTAAGCATGAGCTGAGCACTGCTACAGCGTCACATTAACATCATCAAAGCAAAACATATGTACTAAAAAACATGCAAACAGGCCACTCAGTTCGCACCATTCAGAATTACGCTTAGCAGCACATAAAAATGCATCGACACAGAAAGCTAGTGTTCTCCAAAAGAACGTCTTGAAGTTAGAGACATCATTGTTGGCATTAGAGCTACACGGTCACTTCAGTAGCATCCATCACTTGCAAATCCTCCTACCACACAAGAAGAGTCATGAATAACGCATTCAATCGTGAAATTGAACTGCCACCAGCCCAACGCAGCCACAGAACAAATAAAATTTATATCTCAAAGTTTAACTGCGGCCACCGTCCCTTGCTAGAACCTGACACAAGTCAAATGAAACACCGCTGCTGCCATTCACATCTTATCTTTCAACTCCATTTTAGGGACAGCTGATTAGGGCCTGGGGAATTGTAAAAACAAATTTATCTTAAAGTTTTACGATGATGACAGAAGCTCACTGCATTGGTGCCCGTACTTGAAATTGACAGAACAGAAAAGAAGGGGGGGGGTGTTATGAAAGAGGTTGTTTAAAAAGAGTGACCAGCTTACCTGGCGCCAGGTGATCTCAAGCCTACGTGACCTGCAAGGAGGGTGACGACCACGAGTCGAGCGAGAAGGCACGGACGCGAAGTCCCCAAGGCGACTGCCATCAAGTGCGTGATGAGGGCTTGTCAGGGCCTATAGGCATACGTGTGCGGCGCAACTGCCTAATAATGATACAAAATACGCGCTAAATCGTGCTTTTTTATGCCGCAACCTTCACAGATGTGCGGTCTGCAGCCCGGTCAGCAACGACCCCAGCGGTTGTCCAGCTGGTCGTGAAATAATGACAGCGCAAAGCTTCAAGTCATTAGAATCATTCATACAACTACGACTCTTGCATCGGAACGTAAAAATTTGCCAGTAACGGCCATGAATTTGCATATTTATGTACGACCAACATCAACACTACGGCTGCAACTTAATCGTGGGACCATACGAGAAGCAACGAGACGTTCAGCGATCATAAAGCTGGCAATCACACTATGCAATTATCGAATTGCACTGCGCAAAAATTATTGTCGGTACGGTGATCGGCACAGTACTGTAGTAACGGCCGTAGTAAGTCTACAGCTAAACTGACCGTTCAGCATCGGTTGAAGCTATGAAGACAGGACGACAGGTGCTGGACGTCCACTTAAAACAATACGTGGCTATGGAGAAAAGAATAACTAACTTGATGGAAACCTACGCGGTACGAGTCGTGCGACTCCACAGGATCGCCATACGGATCAACGTATCTGGTAAAGTAGGGAGAGTGATGTGTTCAAGTTTGATTAGGTTCAGATTAGCTTTTTCTGTATTATTTATAATAATTATACTAACTTAAGTTTTGCACTCGCTTCCCAGCTTAAATACTTAAGGTACCAGCATTTGATTGTAACCCTTTTTTCACTATTTTCGCCACGGTCTACGAGCAAGTTACACAAGTCTCCGTTGAAATCTGAAACGCTACGGGGTTACGAATATTACGCTACCTGACTTGATAGAATCAATGTCCAGCTGGTATTTAATAAATCATAATTATAGAAGGAAACAAAAGAACTTCCCGTTTTTTATTCATATGAGTAGTTACATGACCGAGCGCATGGCGCCATTTTCCATAAACAGCTTAAATTATAGTTTACCAACCATTTACCCCGAATATTACCCAACAAAATTAACCAATTACTCCCGAATAAAACCTTCTTCAATATTATTACGAACAATTACCCCCGAATCTGCATAAACAGCTTAACAGGGTAACGATCATGAAT